TAAATTACCATAATAAAATAGACAGCATCCTGTATGCCTACCACGCTGTTACAGAAAGTCTACAATAAAACACCATAATTAACTGTATGTCTACCACACTGTTACAGAAAGTCTAGAATAAACAACCATAATTAACTGTATGCCTACCACACTGTTACAGAAAGTCTAGAATAAACAACCATAATAAACTGTATGCCTACCACACTGTTACAGAAAGTCTAGAATAAACTACTATAATTAACTGTATGTCTACCACACTGTTACAGAAAGTCTAGAATAAATTACCATAATTAACTGTATGCCTACCACACTGTTACAGAAAGTCTAGAATAAACAACCATAATTAACTGTATGCCTACCACACTGTTACAGAAAGTCTAGAATAAACAACCATAATTAACTGTATGTCTACCACACTGTTACAGAAAGTCTAGAATAAACAACCATAATTAACTGTATGTCTACCACACTGTTACAGAAAGTCTAGAAGAAACAACCATAATTAACTGTATGCCTACCACACGGTTACAGAAAGTCTAGAATAAAACACCATAATAAACTGTATGCCTACCACACTGTTACAGAAAGTCTAGAATAAACATCTATAATTAACTGTATGTCTACCACACTGTTACAGAAAGTCTAGAATAAACTACCATAATTAACTGTATTGAGAGCATGCATCTTCCCTGTGGCTACAAACGGATGTGAGTCGTGGACTTTCTCTCAGTCCTTAAGAAAGAGCTGAAATGCTATAGAAAGATTCTCAGAATATCTTGGACAAAGAAGATGAGAAATATTGACATCTTAAAAGATCTGAACATCAAGGAAGATTGGCTAATAAACAGCATCCTTTCTCGAAAGCTGATATATTTTGGTCATATCAAGCGCCACAACGGATTGGAAAAAATTATAGCAGAAGGCATGGTACCAGGAAGGAGGGGCAGGGGCCGACCGACACGAAGATGGGCACAGGATATAAGTGAATCCTTGAGTGTGAAAGTTCATGAGGCGGGAGAACTGGCGAGACACCGAGTTTCTTTCAGGCAGACCGTGATGAGAACGACGTTCTGCAAAGGACCTGCTACATGATGATGAATTAACTGTATGCCTACCACACTGTTACAGAAAGTCTAGAATAAACTACAATAATTAACTCTGTCAACCACACTGTTACAGAAAGTCTGGAAAAAACTACCATAATTAACTGTATGCCTACCACACTGTTAGATAATGTCTAGTCTAGAGAAGACTGGGAGTTGCCGTGGCGTAGTGGCTAGATGCTCGCATGCAGATCGGAAGGTCGTGGGTTCACTCCTTGGCGGAGCCAGACTTTTTTCAAAAATAACCTTGACTCCCAGCCTTAAGTGGGTACCGGGTGCAGTCCCGGAAAGTAGAGGCAGGCGTGATGCTGACCACATCACCCATCTTGTACCGGTTGGTCTATAAAATATAGGTCTAGCCCTATATGCCCTATACGCCTAAAGGCGTGGAAAATGGACCTTTACTTTTTTAAAACTTTTACAAGAGCAGACTACCATATTTAACTATGTTATCAAAATATTATAAAAAGTCTAAAAAAGTTCACAACAATTAATTGTATGACTGCCACGTTACAACAGATAAAATATACCACCACTGACGATATAATTATAGTTTGTATCTTTCTTTAATATGAAATAAAATGATAAATATATGAATTTAAATAAGATCACAGTGGTAATTCTATACAACACACAATGGTACATGAGCAAGAAACCCAAAAAACGCTGACAGTATTTTTACAATATACACTCCTTCTTCTTCATTTTCATCGTCTGTAAGCTCTGGTGGAAAGTTCTGGGTGTTTGTCCACCTCCAGACTTTAGTCTTGCTCCAGAACCTGAATGTTTCACAGATCTTGGACTTCAGAGGAAGCTCCCAATTAGTTGACTCCTACGACATGCTTGTTGGGAAGGCAGTGAGTCTATCCTTGTTTACCCCACGATGGGGCCCTGGAACCCCTACGGGCAACAATATACACTGAATGATGACTTGTTCTCCTCTAGGCAGCTATCTGAAGGTCTGACCACTCCTCTGATTCAGGGTCATAGCCTGGATGGCAATCCAACAAGACAAAGTTTAGATACCCAATTCTTTTTCTTCTTCAGATTCATTCGCTGTAAACTCCAGCAGAAAGTTCATGTTTGTGAACTTCTGGACTGAAAACTTGTTCCAGTACCTGAATTTGGCATCATATTTATTTCACTGGCTTCTTTGTGTGCAAACTGCTGGTCCATCACCTCTCAGGAAGATGCACTCCGACTTTGAAGGAAACACCCCTAATTAGTTGACCTTTACAACCTCTCAGAGAGATGTACTCCGACTTCGAAAGAAACACTCCTAATTATTTGACCTTTACAACCTCTCAGAAAGATGCACTCCGACTTCAAAAGAAACACTCCTAATTAGTTGACCTTTACAACTCGTTTGTTAGGGGGTCATGGGGTCTATTTTGTTCCTCCCACAATGGGGCCCAGGAACCCACATGAGGAAGATACCCAGTTCAACCTTGAAAAACGTTATAATTAAGGCACTTGTAATAACTAAACCAGGTAACACCCTAGTGTACCTTGCTGTTCGAATTGGATAAAGTATGAAGAAAATACACACAAATTTTGTTACTGACAAAATCAACTCTGGACACCAAACATAAAATGCCATAAAACGTAACATACATATGTAAAACAAGGTTTTCTATGATACATTTGCTACAAGGAAAATTAACGTTAAAACAATGAGAGCATTGCACAAAGCAGGAACTTTGTAGCTACAGAAGCGATCCCCTATGACCTCAGTAACAGCTTCTTTGTGAAGTGAACGGTGCATCCGTGAAATGAACCTTGAACCTACAGAGTGGGAAGCAAAGGGCTTGACAAATTCACCAGGGAGATCTTGTCTCAACAAGTAACTAAAGACTAACGGGATCTCTTTGGAATGTTGATTCATTAAACTCACCCAGAATAGTTCCAGATTTAGACTTGAAGAGGCCCAAAGCTATAAATCCATGAGGCCCCTACTGTTTTACATTATACCAGCAAATCTAAAAATAAAATAAAATATATACGCCTTTTAAATAAATGGATAATGGAATAACATCATCATCATCAGGTGCCTTGCCGACTGGCGTGGGCTATCATGCCTCTCCATAATCTGCGATCTCCTGCAGCATGTATCAGTTTGAGTGCCGATACACCTCCATGCCATGCAACAAGACTGTCAAGCATCTTCTCTCGTTGTCTTCCTCTATCTCTCCTTCCACATATCTTTCCAGTGGTCACAACATGTTCTATTTTCCCTCTTCTCATAACATGGCCGAAAAATGATGACTGTCTCTTTCTAATATCTGTGATAAGTTGTCTTCGGGCTCCCGCCTCTTTCAAAACCTCTTGGTTGCTCTTTTTGACTGTCCAAGGTATTCTAAGCATTCTTCTGTAAAACCACATCTCAGAGGCCTCCAGAAATTGTTTGGCCTGCCTACCGATTGTCCAGGATTGGAATAATATATAGTCGTTTAATTTTTATTCAAGGGGCTATGTGGTCTCAAGGCATGGTGTCCGCCTCGAGTGCTAGAGGTCCCGAGTTCAATCCCCGGTAAGGGTTGGGATTTTTTCACGTGGATTTGGACTTCTAGTAATTCCCCCTGGTCTCTGGGTAGTGAGATCGGAAGCCCGTGTGCATAAAAAAATCCATTGGCAGTTGGAAATCGAAAAGAGTAGCCTAACAGCGCTGCCCGGGCAAAAATTTGAAGTTAAAAACCTACAGAGTCTGTACACTGTGCTGAGCTTCTTCGGACTCAGACTAGAGTTAAAAGAAAAACGGAGCACTTATAGGTTACTACCCGTGTGCCATGATGTTGATCTGTTGTTCAAACCTTCATTTTTATTCAAAGAAGTAATAAAGAATGTGTTTTGCAAAATCTCAGAAATTATATAATCTTTTAAAAGGCTCTAAGTTTAAACATTTTTTCCTGATTTCACAAATATACAATCATTGAATTAAACAGACTATAACAAGTTAGAATAAATAAAAGCCTGAGATAATATACCCCAACAACAACAACAACAACAAAATTAGAACACTGCTGAGGAAACAATTTAAAATAAATTACAAGAAAATGGCATTTAAACTAGATTTTAAAAATTGCATTTGTGAAACAAAATAGGAATTTTTGTTGCTGATTGTTTACGTACAGTTTGTAAACATTCTAAGGATATGAACAAAGAAGACACAAAACAACATATTGCATAATGCACTGCTTAATGTATTCTATTAAAAAAGATGTAAGATGATTCTGGAAGTCACGACTCTCTAGTTCCCTTGTTCAACTAAAAATCTGATATTTCAATGAAGCTGCTGGCAATACAGATTTGAATGGTGGGGAGAACTGGCTCATAAACAGCATCCTCTCCTGAAAGCTGATGTGTTTGGCCATGTTAAACGCCATGGTAGCCTGGAGAGAGCAGTGATGGAAAAGGCTGACCTCCATGAATTACGAAACTAGTTCACAATGCCCAAGCCACAGATGCCAACTAAAAACTAGTAGCAACTTAAACTTTTTAGCTTTAATGTCAAATGTTAGAGATGGCATTACAGAGAAGGGTGTTGACTTATCCTGGCAATCTAAAAGATTGCTGAAGGTTGAGGTGCTCAGACATGTGGACGAGGAAAGAAAGGGGAGACTACCCCCTCCCCCCCCCCCCTCTCTCTCTCTCTCTGTGGGGTTGTGGGTCACCTGTGCCTATGAAATGGAGTGGTGACTCAACAAAAGTTGGAAACCACTGTTCTAGGCCATGAACTATGATATGGCCAGTTTCCTTCCTCATTACCTTTTTATCATGGACTATTCCCAGAAAATTCTAGAGAATATCTGGTACCTGTTTTTTTTTTTAATGAGACTGAGTCAAACCCAGAGCTGTACCTTTTTATAAGCTTTTATTAAGTTTGGTTTTGTCTGTTTTTCAGTAAGAACAAGATAACCCCAACTTTGTCACTTTATCCTTGCCCGTGTGAACAAAAGGTCTGTACGAATAATTTCCTGTTACAACTGGAGCTCCAGAGCTACCCCCACATGTTGTAGCATTGTACTTGGTCATTTTAAAGCCCTGTTGACTCCTATAGGTCTCTTCCAGAGACACTAGATCACCAAAACTAATTCTCTTGGGCCATCCATGAGGATGAGAAATGACAATAGCATATTTTTTCATTTTTTGCTTTATTTCTTCTGGAATTTTTGAAATTGCATTCATTCTCAGACTGGACATTGTTTTTATTAAATTAAATAACTCTGGATCATGATAAAATATTCGTAGTCCCACTAAATCCTTATTTTTCTGGTTTTCTCTCAAACAAGATCCATAAGCTGTGATACCTCTGTGTAATCTACTTCTATACATATTAATCAAATGATCGCTGTAATAATTATTGTGACCTTCTTCGTTATTACCACATTCATACTCACTTGTAACAACTTCTGATGACAAATGACTGCAATCACCACTAAATATTGGTAAACTGCCAGATGCGGTTATTTCAGGGCCCATTTCCATATCTGTCATTTCAATTTGACTATCTTTGCCCGAAGAATTTATGTCATCATTACTGTCTAAACAGGAACGACCAATATCTAACTGTACATTTTGGTCAACTTTCACTAAAGAACTGACCGCGACATTGCTTTCTAACAGGGAACTACCAACAACTAGCTGTTCACTATTATCAACTTCAGCAGCTGGACTGATCTTGACACGATTTTCTAACCGGGAACTGCCACCATCTGTCATGACATCAACATCCACTAATGATTTGTCATTGTAATAGAAAAAATCAACATTACAGCAATCTGCCTCCGAATTATTCTTGATAACATGGTTATTTGTGTAGACAACCAATCCACCGTAGTTTTCATGTATCTGGCCCTTGTTATACTTACAATTACGAAGGCGACAGTTTCCATTTTTCACCAGTGTATCTGAGGTCAATTCCACACAACCAGTTGCAAATGAAAGCTTCTCTCCAGTCTTCCCTCTGACACTGGTACGAATTCGTACCACAAGCTTCTCAAGAATCTTAATGTACTCTAGAACAGATTCATGCCTGATGGCCTCTGGAAGAATTTGGAGTGAAGCATTTTTGTCGTTATTCTTAAAGAGGTCTTCAACTAGAATGTACTTCTGATGATCACTTTCACATGAATTAGCTAGGCAGTTTATCACTTCACTTTCTGTCTGTCCACTGAGGCACTCGTAGGTTTCAACTACCAATTAGAACAGAAAATCCATATTAAAATTTACATATTACTGTAATGTATTCTGAGATAACAAATGCATCATCAAAATAAATGGGACAATTGTGAAGCAAGTCAATACATTGAAGTCCTTGGAAAGTAGCTGGAAAATGTACTGAAAAAGTAAAATGTAGAAATTTCTCAAGCTTCTTCTTATTTGCATTCAATAGTTGTAAACTCAAATGAAAGTTCTGGTGGTTCATCCACTTCTGGATTTCAGTCTTGTTCCAGAACTTAAGTTCTGCGTGGACATCATTTTTGCAGATCTGGCTTAACTGTGTGCAGACTACTGGTTCCTTGCCTCTCAAACAAATTCACTGTGACTTCGAAGGAAACCCCTAATTAGTCAACTTTTATGACATGTTTGTTAGGGGGCAGTGTCTCTATTCCCCCTCTCCCTAACGGAGCCCTGGAACCTCATGGGGAAATGACACATTCATGTGCATACTTCGGGACATTTAACATAGAAGTATATTGAAAGCATGCACAAAGCAAGGCTTGAACTTGTAGTAATTACACTCTAACATAAGTGGTCAACTGTGGCAAACATTTGAACCTTTTGTGTCACCTACTAGGAGCCTGGATAAACATCTGAACCTTGGCAGTCATTTAGTAGGGCTCAATATGGACATACATTTTAACCTCAGTTGCCATTTACTAGGATCTCATCAAAGAACTCTGAAACAACATGTGTCATTTAGTAGAAACATCAGTAGGTGGGTTTAAATCATTTTCCAAACGTATTTTCGATGGACACAATCAACCATGCATTTGGGGTGGGTTGAGGAATGCCAGAGGTTTTCTTCACACTGCATCTCTGATGGCCACCAGCTCCAAGATCCCCTGCCAGCTTGGCTGAGGCCTACACAGGTCATCATCCATGGTGCACGAGATGAATGTGAGGCAGAAGTCTTGAATAATGATCCACAAAAACCAGCACAGAGCCTGAAGGTACAGAGTAACTTCTTGTACCCTGCACAATGGCCTTAACTTTCACTCATGTATGCGACTGAAAATCTCCACAAACGACTCCAGTTATAAAGTAATATGATTATTATATTGTTCACTCCCATGTGGGGAAAACAGAAATAACCCACTGTCTCCCCAACAAGAATACCTTAGGAGTCGACTAATTGAGGGTTTCCTTCGAAGCTGGAGTGCATCTGACTGAGAGGCAGGAAACAATTGCACTCAAATAAGCCAGGAAAACGGATGTATAGGCAAAACTCAGATCCTGGCACAAAGCCAAAGTCCAAATGGACAAACAACCAGGACTTTCCACCGGAGCTTACAGCCGGTGAACAAAGAAGGAGAAGAAGAAAAGTCTAATTAAATGCATGTCACAAAGAGTCGACTTATTAGGGGTTTCTTTCAAAGTCAGAGTTCATTTGTCTGAGAGTCTGCATATAAATAAGACATATGTAAAATGGGTGTGCACACAGGTACTGGAAAAGGACTACAGTCTAGAAGTGGACAAACAACCAAAACTTTCCGCAGCAATGTGCAGGCAATGAATGTGAAGAAGATATTGTTCACAAGAATGTAGTACAGTCTTACCTTCCAGCTGGATACTGTTGCTCGGAATATCATCAGTTTCATCATTATCATCATCACTGTCAGCTAGTCTGTTAGTGGGCGCTCTCTTTGAGGAGTCCTCTACAAAAAGATAATCAATGACTGATACAACAAGTCTTCTTCTTTTTCCTCTTCTTCTTCTTCGTGTTCACTGGCTGTGAACTCCAACAGAAAGTTCTGGTTGTTCATTCAGTCTTGGGTTTTGGAGCCAAATCAGTTTTTAAAGATCTGGTTTAAATGAATGCAGACTGTTGGTTCCTGCCGTTCAGACAGATACAATTTGACTTTGAAGGGAACACCCCTAATTAGTCACTTGTTAATGGGGGAGGGGGGTCTATTCTTTGTCCTCCTAAATGGAGCTCTGGGACCCACACAAGGTTTGAGACCAAAGAAATACAACTCTTACTGTACAAAGTGCAGCAACAACTGCTGGATACACCTAAGTAGATAAAAAGGTTAAAGTCGAGAGAATCAACTTCACTGCATCAGGTTTTAATTCCATTTGGCTGGGTCTCTCTTTGCAGAACGGCTAGCTGCCTGCCGAGAGCACTGCATAAAGCACAAACTTCGTAGTTCTTTTGAAGATCCCCAGGGATCTCCATAAAAGTTGCACTCGTGAACTGAACAGTCCTGCCATGAAACAAACCCACGACCTTCACAGACAAGGCAAATGGCTTGACTACTTCGCCACCGAGAGCCTCTAGCTAAATAGATAAGCACAGACAAGAATAATATCTCAAACACATGGGTGAGCTCCCCGTGTGGGTTCCGGGGCCCTATTATAGGGGAAAACAAGAATAGACCCACTGCCTACCCAAAAGCATGTAGTAAAAGTAAACTATCTGGGAGTTTCCTTCGAAGTCAGAGTGCATCTGCCTGAGAGACAAGGAACCAACAGTCTGCACACAAATGAGTCAGATCTGTCAAACGGATGCACGCGCAACACTCAGGTGCTGAAACAGAGCTGCAGTCTAGAAGTGGGCGAACAACCAGAACTTTCCGCCGTGTGAATGCGTAGAAGAAGAAAAATAGGCGAACGAGAGTTAGAAAGGAACAGAGAGATAGTAGGTGTGAGAGAGAGAGAAAGAATTATGACAGAACATGTGAGGTGAGAGAGAATGAGAGAGAGAGAGAAACAACATATGTGTAAGAGAGAGATACAATAAAAGAGACCTTGTGTATGTGTGTTTGTGTAGCTATATGTTTGTGTGGGTGTGAGAGAGATAAAGACTAAGAAAAAGTGTATGGAAAGTTTGTAACTTTTCACATTTCTGGCACATAAACAAACAACCAATTTAATTTGCGTTGGATTTCATTATTTCTTTAATTTTATTTCTGACTGTGCAAAAAGATGGTATATGATAAATGGAGAAGGAGAAAAGTGGGCTATCCTCCAAATAACGGTCCTAAATTATTGAGCCGGAAAATATACCCTAACAGGGCCTCAGTCATGTGTCAATTGCGCACTTCCGGGGACCATAACGCCACCGCCGAATTGCAAACTTCCGGAAACTTCCGCCACCACCAAGTTAATTGGGGCTAAACTGGATGGCTAGGACTCACAAGCAAATAAAATAAAGGAAGCTGCAGGAGACGCGGTAGCTGCTGCTCGTGAGTCCCAGCCATCTAGTTTAGCCCCAATTCACGCCGCGTGATCGGCATGGGGGATACTCTCGGCGGTGGCGGAAGTCGCCGGAAGCGCGCAATTTAACACGACGGAAGTGCGCAACTGACATGTGACTGAGGCCCTGTTAGAGTATATTTTCCGGCTCGATAATTTAGGACCGTTTTTCGAAGGATAGCCGAAAAGTGGTTTTTCATAATACATCAAAGATAAAAGATATGTGCCCGATTATGTTGGTCGATACCTGCCTTGTCTTCAAGGAGGGCATTGCTTCCATTACCATTATTTCTAAACCACTGTCATAACTGATGTGACTAGGGTGCCCCAGTTTTCACAGATACAACACTGAAAACTCCACTGAAACACATCTCGAAGATAACAAAATGTTTACAATTTAAAGAAGATACTCACTTTGTGACTTTCTGATAAGAGAGCTATGGTTCCCCATTGTTTACTGAAATAATAATTAAAAAATAAAATAACTAGAATTAAATAATTGAATATTTGAATGATTACAGCTATTGAAATAAAAGTTAACTAAACTATTTTTAGCTATCATTTGCTTGGATTATTCTTATTATCTTTGTCCTTTCCTTGTGCATTTTGAGATCTAGTTTGTGCAACCTCCAATCAAATGTTTTAACTAACCTTGCATTCAATTTTGTTTTTGGGTGACGAGGATAATACTGTCAGTGAAATCTAGATCACCAAGCTTTCAAGTCTCTGAACTCATTTTATATCATTTCTGTAGGCAGTAATTGTCATCATAATCCATTGTATTGTCAGTTACAACAACAAAGGTAAAAAAAATGGCATATTTAGCACACAACTCTTATTATTGTAAAGTATTGTAAAATATAATTTATTTAGTCAGAAGTCTGCATGTTCATGATGCAGTTGTTTGCCACTGGCAAGGCTGCAACTCCTCTGCCTAATATTTTCCCAGGAACTGACAAAATCAATATTCCTGAATGGCCGCTTAGTGAATTACAAAAGACAGTGAAATTCATACTAGAGACAGCTTTGCAGATATAGACAATTTATTTCATGCGAACGAAAGAAGAAGAAAGAAGAATATTCCTGAATAACTGCCAAACTGCTACACTTCCCCCTTTTTTGTGCAGCTCCCAAATTGTATTTTTCTCTAGTCTTCTGGTTTATCTTCAGGCTCCTAGATTACAATATAATTTTTGCAGTAACAGCTAACATGTTTTAAAATTACCATTACTAAAATGACTAAAAAATTGCTATTTTTTTAAAATGCTACGGATATCTAAATGCAGGAATGAGTAACCTTTTTCGGTCCATGAGTCAAATTTAGAGTTACCAACCCTGTCACAGGCGATACAGAGCATGATCATAACACCATATTTTTGTGGGATAATCTAAGATTAAAATCCCTCACTATGCCTCAGGCCAGACACACTCATCCACCTAAGCTCTTCTATATACTCTTAAATGTGTGCATACAAATGTATGTTTCTATGTTCTGTTATTCTGTGAGCTCAAGGGCCAAATTATATAGTAATTTTACACCAGTCTCGCGAGCCAGTAAAAACTGCTCAACAGGCCAGTATTTGTCCACAGGACATAGTTTTCCCACCCCTGGTCTAATTCTATTTGCTAAGTATTTACTAAAAAATTAAAACCTAACTCCAAAAAGAATTAAAATTAAGTAATATCAATTTACCAACGTTATCCTATCAATATAAAACATGGACACTGTCTTAAAAAAAAACAAGAAAAATAATCACCACAGAATTGAAATGTTTACAAACTGTGATAGGTGTAACAAGGAAAAATAGATTCAAGCACGATGATATCTAGAGGAGAGTCGGCGCAGAGCCAATAGTGGGAACCTTATTGGCAGACGACAGATCAAGTGGTTGTCTTGACCGGCATCAAACAGACGATGGGCTGTATAAATATCAGACACTGAAAAGTACCATATACGAAGGGAACAGAAAAGCTCGCTTTCCTCTGAATAACGGTCATAAATTATCGAAAATATACTCTAACAGGGCCTCAGTCATGTGTCAATTACGCACTTCCAGGGACTATAACGCCACCGCCGAATTGCAATCTTCCGGCAACTTCCGCCACTGCCGAGAGTGTCCCCCATGCCGCTCACACGGCGTGGATTGGGGCTAAACTAGATGGCTAGGACTCAGGAGCAAATAAAATGAAGGAAGCTACAGGAGATGCGGTAGCTGCTGCTCGTGAGTCCTAGCCATCTAGTTTAGCCCCAATCCACGCTGCGTAAGCGGCATGGGGGATACTCTCGGCGGTGGCGGAAGTTGCTAAAAGTTCGCAATTCGGCGGTGGCGTAAGTCGCCGGAAGCTCGCATTTTAAGACGACAGAGCAATTGACACATGCCTGAGGCTCTGTTAGGGTATATTTTCCGCCTCAATAATTTACGACCGTTATTCGGAGGATAGCCGAAAAGCCCGTTCTAGAGATATTTTCCTCCCTGATGCTGCAAAACATTCCAGGAGAAGAAGAATATAAATCCTATCACACCCTCCCCTCCTTTCCCCAGTTTGTCACCTCCAAATCTGCATGTGCAAAAAAAAAAAAAAAAAACAGAAACCCTGTTCAACAGTATAGTATCATTATAGTATGCCCATACATCAGGGTTAAGCAAAAACTTCGACGAGACTATTTAGACTAGACGAGATAATAAACTTTAATATTATTAGACCAGAAATCCCCTTTATCTTCTTTATACACCAGTTGTAAACACCAGTGGAAAGTCCTGGTTGTTCGTCCAATTTTAACTTTGGCTGTGTGCCAGGGAGTTTTTCGTGTACATCCGTTTTACTGGCTTCGCCTACTTGTGGGCAATTGGTTGTCCCTTGTCGTTTCGGCAGATGCATTCCGACTTCGAATGAAGCTCCTAATTGGTTGACTCTTACGACATGCTTTTTTCGGGTAGGCAGTGGGTATTTTCTTGTTTTCCCCACAACGGAGCCTTGGAACCCACACAGGTATGCTACGATTTGAACTAGAACTAGTAGTAGTAGTAATTAAACTAATTAAACTAAACGGCTGTTTGTCTCAAATAATATTCTTTTCAGAACACAAACTGAATATTATATAAGAACACAGTTAATTATGAAACTTCACATACTGAAGGAAAAAACTATATTTATGTGAGTGTGTGTATAAATATATATATATAAACCTACAACTGAAACTTCCTTGTGTGAAGTTGTTTTGTCTGCTGGCCTTGGCACTTTGAGCAAGGGAATCTACTCTGCTTGAATGCAGCTCAGTTCCCAGAATCAGAATCTACTTTTTTACTTTACTTAGTCGCTCCTCTTCTACCTTGGGGTGTAGAGGTTTGCCAGAGAGATCGCCAAACGTCTCTATCAGCAATTTTCTTTCTAGCTTTGTTCCATTCCAGTCCTCTGTCAGTTAGGGACTGCCGGATGTTGTCTTCCCAGCGCACCCTGGGTCGTCCTTGAGGTCTGGTTCCCTGGTTCTTAGCCTGCCATGGTGGCCGATTTTCTCCCATTCTGCATACATGTCCAAACCATCGTAACTGTGACTGATATAAGAATCTACACAAGCTATAATTCTATAGCAGTGGTTCTCAACCTGCCGGTCGTGATCCTTTTTTGTTGTTTGTCAGAGGCCAGTTCGGCTATGGGGCGGACAAATCTGATGATAGTGAATCATCACGTATGAACGAGTTGACCTTCAGTAAAACTCAGTATGAGAGCGGGCAGCTTGACCACGGAATAAACTGGGTCCAGTTAACGGGCTAAGCCCAGTTCACACAGGTGACATGGATTACTGCGTGTCCAGCCGGGAAACAAAAAGCTTTGTCCGAGCTGGTTGGAGGGGAGTCGTGTACTGAGATGGGACGAGACAAGACGGAACGTTTTGACTAGGTAACATTAGGTTTAGTGACGGTTAGTTGCAATAGGATCTTTGTGTTAATATCTATGATAGGCTGTGTTTATATTTAATGTTTCGACTAGATAGTATACAGTTAATGTTCCTTATGTAGTAGACATTCCATGCGGTATTTGTTTTGAGCAGTTAGTAAAGGTGTGACGCGCATTGTAATGGCGATAACACTGCCCAGTCACGCTTAGGCCATACACCTTACGTGTATCACTGAGTCCCGTGTGGCAATAGACGGCGGCTTAATTAGCACTGAGAAACTGTCAGCTAGGAGTCGTGTTCCTTGTAGATCCATGGGGACCGGCTTGGGTTGATCAGTGATTGTAAAGCTGCTCATCGCCAGGAGTTTCGGATGGGAACTGCCTACTCAGTTGAAGTGTTTAAAGTCGGTTTGTTCGTTGTACATTAAAGATTATGTTTGTACTCAGCAGGAGTGTGTCTTAAGTGTGTCTAGGCTAGTTAAGTCTGTTAGCTGGCCTACCTAGCGAGCCATTTTAAATGTATAGAGTAAATTAGGTCCCTGACAGATAATGGGAGGCTTTCGTCCTTAGGAGTTGAATCTGGGATAGTGACAGATTATAGATAGTGACAACTTATTTATATTATTAGCTGTTGCGTGACGTGTTGCGTCTATAGTCGTCTCTTCGCAAAGTTAGCGCTAGATTATATAGGTTATCGTTCACTTAAAAATTAGATATAACTATTGAATTGATTTCTTTGTTGTCAAACGACCCTTTCACATGGGTCGCCTAAGACCATTGCAAAACAGATGGGCCTATTATTTGAAGTTATGGAGGAAAATAATAGTGTGGGGGTCACCACAACATGAGGGATCTGTATTAAAGGGTCGTGGCATTAGGAATGTTGAGAACTACTGTTATACTATACTAAATTTTTATTTTAGTTATTTTTAATTTTTTGGAACATTTCACGAAGTCCGCCCAAATAAAGCGTAACTGGACTTTCATTCATGTTTTTTCAGGCTAGTTTATGTTAGAGGGGCTTCACGTTGTCTTGTGTTTGAGAAGCGGACAATTTTAACAATTCTGAAACTACGGGACATACTCTGCAAACTCTCGTGGGAACTAGGCTGTGAGGGTTGGGGCTATGGCCAGTTTTAGTTTTTCTGGGGTATTTAGAAGCGGTGTCGTCGTTTAGTATAGACCATGCATCATCGCCGGTGATAGCAGCGGAGGCGCGACACCCCTGTAACGTAGACTAGCCTAGGCAAGCATGAATGAAAGGTCAACCAGTGTGTAAATGGGCCGGACTTCATAAAAAGAACTGCGCTCGTTGACAAAGATTTTTGTCAAAAAGTTCCACTGTTTCTTAGGTGTTCTCTCTCTCTCTCTCTCTCTCTCTCTCTCTCTCTCTCTCTCTCTCTCTCTCTCTCTCTCTCTCTCTCTCTCTCTCTCTCTCTCTCTCTCTCCTTTTGCTTTCTAGACATAGTTAACCTGCCAAATGATAATTCAATATAATAATATGCTTTTACTATGAAAGGCTTCAAATGAAAAACTTACAAGAAATTACATTAACATTGGAGCACAAACACATAGTAGCAGTTTTGGGAGGGGGAACACACTCACACACATATTGTGACCAGATATCAAACAAAACGTAGAATCAGTCAGCTTCAAATGCATTAGCAAAATCTGATGTGTCTGACACTACAGTTACACACAAGCTATAAAACATCAGATAAACCAGATAGAGAAGAAGAGTGGGGGAAATATTGCAAAAAGCTATTGCGCACGGAACATTGAATCTGTGAGATGTTGTGAACGGGAATTCGACGTTTCAGGAGGGATACACATTTGGTATCTTATAGATCTCAAAGACATGTGTTCTTGTTCCGTACTATGTCAGGACAAAGAAGATTGACTGTTTGCATAGTAAAAAAAAAAAAAAAGCCGAGAGCTTTGAGGAATGTTATTGTATAACTGTATAAGTGAGAGATATAACTATTTTTTCTTAAAACTGGTCTTAATATTCATGTCATGCCTTTTGGAACAAGCAACGGAATCAGTAGAGAAAGAAAACTATTATGGCCTGGAGAGAATTAGCACCTGGGTGTAACCAAAGAGTCTGGCCGGCTCACTGCTCACTACTCAGAGGAAAGGCAAGAGGGACATATAACCAGATTATGACCGGTAGCATCAGTATTGGGGCTCTGCGCTGGCTGCTGGAGATGAGGACGGAACACGCATGGGAATGCCTCGAGTGCTGTGATGTAAATTCTTGATTCAACTCAACTCGTGTCGGCGGCTGTACCGAGGATGTATTCTTTCCGGAGATGCGTGTTAACTGCATTGCGCTGACATTTAAAGGTCTTGAGTTCAGGGCCAAGGTATATTAATCCAGTCATCTCCTTGTGAGATGCAATTTTCCATTGTTTGAAGCACTACTCTGGCTGTTGCCAGGTTCCGCAATATAGCCCGACCATAAATATGGTCTAATGGCGGAACGCCGTTTCTGGGACCTTTCCACGGTGATCCTCATCCACGTGGTAGCACTTTGTGTCATCGGGTGTTTATCGCTTGTGTGATGTCCTAATGGGGTAAAAATCTACTACTACTACTACTACTACTACTACTACTACTACTACTACTACTACTACTACTACTACTACTACTACTACTACTACTACTAAGGCCAAGGTTTGCAAGTGTAGGTGTATTCATAGCTAAGGCGAATGGACGTGGACTGGTAGGCGGACACTGTAGCTTTCTGCTGGCTTAAAAGCAGATTGAAATTGAAATGACTAAGAGCATGATGAGAAAGGTGGAGACTTCAGAGGTCCTAGGTAGTTAGCATCCATTGATATGTCTCCATGTGTCTTAGGAAATAAACAGGCAGATAGATTAGCTGGTTCTGCACCATGTGGTGTGAAATTCATGATTGACAAGCTAGATTTTATATGGATCATCACGGTCTGAAGAGAATGGTGCAGCGAGGAGTTGCTAGGGGGATCTCGTCAACACTCGGGGGGGGGGGGGGGGGGGGAGATGGACATACAATCATACTGTTACTGGTACCGTCGGAATTGGAACTTTGCGCTTGCTGCTGGAGATTGGAATGGAGCGCTTCTGTGAATGTCCCCAGTGCTTTGATGTCGGTTCTTAACACGTAACTCAAGTATAGGTATTTGGAAATCTCTGTGGATCGTCGTTGGAGCTATGCTCACGACAGGGAAAGCTGTTGGAGAGAGAGAGAGAGAGAGAGAGAGAGAGAGAGAGAGAGAGAGAGAGAGAGAGAGAGAGAGAGAGAGAGAGCAATATAGGATAATACCCATGTAACGAAGTAGATTCACTTACAATTAAACACTCGTACTCGAAGTGTCCACTGAATATTCCAAATACATAATGCATAGGCGGATTTACAGGTAACCTTAAAACCACTGCCTTCTTCTTCAACATTCCTAGCCCTTGGGGTTCATTGCTGCAGATATCATCCGCCTTCACTCATCCCTCTGGTTGGCCTTCTCTTTCCAGTTGGTAACACCAAGTGTTTTTAGGTTTGTCTGGATAATATCTCTCCATCATCTTCTTGGTCTGTCTCGTGGTCTACGACTATTCAGTTCCCTTGTGTATACAGTTTTTACCTCTCTGTCATCTGCCATTCTCTCATTATGCCCCAGCCATCTAATAGCCCTCATGATGCCAGCGATCAATGGTGATGTAAAAACAGATTATGAATTTCATTGTTGCTTTTCACTCTCCGTTCCCCGCTGTTTGTATCTTTGATGGGACCAAAGACTTATCGTAAGACTCTGTTTTCGAAAATTTTAAACAGAGATTACGGAAATGTCCCCAGTGATATAAAATCGGTTCTTATCTCATAACTCAAGTGTAGGGTTTGGAGTTAGTTCATCGACAGATTATCCTCACTACACGATGGATAAGTCCATAAGCGCTCAGATACCATCTTCAGTATAGATATCCCTTAGCGTGTGGTTATTGATAACACCAGTTCTGTGTTGATTTACTATTCTTCTATGACTACCATTATAGTGTTTTTGTTTGGCGACAACTGACTGACTGACTTTCTACCCCACAAGGACATCACACAAGAGATAAACACCCAATGACACAAAGTGCCACCATGTGGATGAGGATCACCGTGGAGAGGTCCCAGAAACCGCGTTCAGCTATTTGGCCATATTTATGGTCTGGCTATATGGCGGCCCCTGGCAAGAGCCAGGGTATGGGCAATTAACAGATGTAAGGACAACATGTATGTTCTTTGATATACCTTCACTGTGTGCCCTACTAATCCGCATAGGCAGTACTGTCTCACCATCTCACATGATCACCAGAATCACAGATCAGGTCATTGCACGTGTCTTGTCCCAAATAACAAAACATTCGTTTTATAAAGGATATTGGCGACAACTCTTGGCCTTAAGTTCTTGTAGTTTCTTGAGTGTTGCAGGCTCACCGTCCTGAGTGATTAAACCATTGTTTTATTTTAAATAGTCATAAATGCGCATAAAGAATCTAAAAAAAAAAAACAGATTATATTTACAACTAGTGTAATAAAATGTAATGCGATAAATGTTATTAGTTACTTTTTAAAATTATTTTTACCACGTGCATTATTTGTCTTTTGCATCAGATTCCCTGCGGACTTAACTTCCGGTGGAAGGACACAGGAAGGAGACTCTGACATTGAGAGGTTTTCTCACAGCGCAGTCGCCGAATTCATCGTTTAATTTCTCGAGACAGACAGCAGAAAACAGCCGCAAACATGCCTATGGCAGGGTTGACCGCATCCAGCCTGAAGAAGCATCCAGCGGTAAGTGATATATTAAGCTTTTTGCAATCTGTAAATCCATGTTGGACAAAATAAATGGAAAATTATACTCTATAAATACCCTTCGTCAGTCAAGTCATGAAAATGAATGTTGTGACAATGACGGAATGACGCAGTTGTGAAAAAGTAGAGCTACTGCCTAAAAATCTGTTTCATATTTATTCTAGATAACCTCTTCTGACTACGTGTTGTTATTTGAACACACGATTTTGTATATACTACTATATGTAGTGTCAGTAACCTATTATGTTGAGAGATGCAGATTTTGAGAGATCCACAAGACCCATCAGCAGACTCAACAGAAAGCAACATTCAACACTTTTCCATTTACAAACACAACACTGCAGGCTCAACTACCACATGCATAAAATGAAGATTGTACAGTCCTCACAGTGTGCCTATCAAACAGGACCACAAACACCTGAGCACATTCTGCAGAATTGCCCACTCTACATACAACTTCAGAAATACACCTGACCTCAAGAGCAAAGTGTGCAGAGCAAGCAATGGGGAACCATGAAGGACCTGCTACTGACATGCGAGTTCATAAGGGCAACTGATCTGAGCATACAAAACCGAATGAAAAGAAGAGACAGTTTCCCCTAAAATGGGACTCTGGTAACATATTGTGTTGAGAGATGCAGATTTTAATATGAATACTTACTACTGCTATTTTTTTTCCAAGGATAGGATCTCATTGTTTGGCTTTGGACTTATTATTATAGAATTGGCAAGCCAGATTCACTCTTTGCAAATCAAATTCACCTTTTTTTTTTTGCATATCAAGCTAGCACATTTGACATTTGTTTTTACAAGGTGGCATAGCTAGTCCCATGCCCAGCCCTTTTCCATTTATGATGGTACCGGTAGCAGTCTGTATGCCCTTCTTGCCTTTCCTCTGAGTGTTGACCAGATCCCTTGATCACTGCCTGCTGCTCCAGTCTCTTCAAACTGAGATGATCTTTTTGTGCTTCCCCTACTATAAAGGAATCTGGGAATTAGGGTCAAGTTTTTCTTCTAAATTTGACCAGTGTGCAACAAAATATGAAATTCCTACAACAGGTGTATTTAGTTTTTATTTTGGTTACAATAAATCAAGAAAATATTGTAGAAAAAGTGAATTTAATTTGCAGAAGGGGTAAATTTTGCTTTGCCAATCCTGTATGTATATTTACATGTTCTCATTTCATTCATGCGTTATTTTGCGGCAAGGCGAAAGTTGAGAACAGAGGAAGATCTAGAGATGCTGCTTAGTTTGACATCAAGACTTTTAGGATCATCTATCAGAAAAAAATTGGTAAAGGTAAATTTGGGAGATGTGCACCAGTACGGACAGCTGATAAGAAACTGTCCACCTGTGTCGCTGTTCGCATGCAACTCCATAGCTACAGCATTTCTCCATTTACCCCTAAGGAAATTGGGAATAATTGAAAGTACATGAGACAGCGACAATAAACTGCAAATGGGTATTAAACAAGGATAAGCCTGCAGGAACTAGTTGTGAGGCAGAGGAAATGCTGCTCCAGCTGGGTATGTTGAGCATGGAGACACTGATCTGTATGCTAAAGATGTTGTTATGGACAACCAGTTACATGAGACAGAAGGCTGTGGCTAGACATGGCTACCAATGGCACATAGTTGCTAGCACATTTGTCTGCTGGTCATGCGGTTAAGTGCTGGGAGATTAGATATCAGGATAGTGATAGGGAGCTGAGATGAATACAACATTCTGATTGGTATAGCAGCTGCTAAGTTCTGGCAGTGTATGTATCGGCAATTAACAGATGTAAGGACAACATGTATGTTCTTTGATATATCATCATTGTGTGCCCTGTTGGTCAGTATAGGCAGTCATGTCATACCATCTTTCATGATCACCAGAATCACAGATCAGGTCATTGCACATTTCCTGCCCCATTCATATAATATAACAAAGCCATCAAGGTACACTTTTCTCTTTATCTCACCCTTTCTTGACTGTGATTGGCATCTTGAAAAAAGGTAGTTTGTCATTGCTTTTCTTCTTAAAAGTGACCTTAGTCATTTTCAATTTGGTGTGTTCCTCTGTCTTACAGATTAAAACCATTACCGTTTGTCTATCAACTGCTGTCAAGCTCAGTTCACCAGCTGGTTTTATATTATCCTCATAGGGCCACTGAATACATGTTGAATTATGAATATTGAATTGAGAATCGACATCACGGCACCCCGGACGCTCCCAGAAGCGCTGTATCCCCATTTTCAGCAGCAAGTGAAGAGTTCCAGTTCTGATGGTACCAGTAACTTAACAGGTTAAGAGGAATTTCTGATAGGAAGAACTATTTCTTGGGTCCACAGTGAGTTCTCCTTAGGTCTGCGCTGTATTTATTTGGGTTTTTTTTTTTTTTATGGTAAACCCTCTTTTGTCTTTAGCTGCTCTTCTATCTGTCCCTTCTGTGGAATAAAAATAGTATTCACAGAACATTTGTAAACAACTAAATACAATAATATGTGTTTATTTTCCCATCCACAGCTGCTTCCGCTGTTTGCTTGTGTGGGTGCTGGAGTTGCATGGGCTTCATATTATATTTGGCGCTTGGCCACACAAAGCCCTGATGTGGGGTAAGTAGATTTTGTAGTTCCTTGTTTAACCCAAAATCTTGGACTGCCAGAATAATTAACATGATTGCCAGGAAATGGATGATGAAAGTAGAACATTATATACAACAATATGAAGAGGACAAACAAAGAGAAAAGGAGTACTGAAAATATTGTGACAGCTGGAAAGATCACTGTTAGAAAAGGCAGAAGCAGACCAAGAGAAATAATGACGGAGGCTTAAGACAGTAGCATGGAAGAATATCATCAGTGGAATTGATACAGAACACCAATGCATAAACACCTATTCCAGCTGACTTGATAATGTTTAACACCCTGGCACAGAGATTCTCAAAAAGCCTAATTAATGGCTATCCTTCGAATAATGGTTCCAAATTATCGAAGACCGAAAATATACCCTAAATGGGCCTTAGTCACATGTAAATTGCGGACCTCTTCCGGCGACTACACAGCATACCGCGAAAAAGCTTCAGCCAAGTTCAAGTCACTGCCGATAGTATCTCCCGCTATGCACGGAGCGCGGCTAAACTAGATGGCTGGGACTCATGAGCAGCAGCTACTGCATCTCATGCAGCTTCCTCCATTGTATTTGCTCATGAGTCCAAGCCATCTAGTTTAGCCCCGCTCCACACTGCGCATAGCGGCGCGGGAGATACTCTCGGCAGTGGTGGTATAGTCGCCGGAAGAAGTCCGCAATTTACATGTGACCGAGGTCCTGTTAGGGTATATTTTCATCCTCCATAATTTGGGACTGTAATTCGGAGGCTAGCCCAATTCTCCTTTAATATTTTAAGTAATCACAATCTTTGTGTGCAGTTGTTTACGCAAAAGTAAATCTAGTAGTTGAATTGTCCACTGCATTGTTTACTGAATACTCTTCTTCATATACTTCTAAAAGAATTTGTAAAAAGTACCCTAACAATTTACACACTCACACACCACACCACACCCCCCCCCCCCCTCTCCCCACGTGTATTTATGTTTTAATAATTTAAGACAATATTTTTCATGGAAGTTCAAGGTTCAGAGCTTTTTTTTTCCTCCAGTTTTTTTTCCCCTTATATGGTTAAGGTTGCTGTGGTCACACTGCAATTTTGCTTTGGGTCAAGAATGGAATAACCAGTTGACTGCCAAGCCTATAAACCTTGCACTTTCCCAGATAACACACCGTATAGTGTGTACTAAAAGTGGCATAGCTTTATAACTGTTTACCGTAAACTCATTATGAAGGTGAAGAAGAAAAATTTATACTGTTGCAGACTGCAATATATAAAAGCTGATGATCAGTGTCAGTCTGTCAGGACTTGGTGATGAATTCTTGAAATGTACATGCTTGTTACATCACTTTTCATTATCTGTAACTTGTTTTTATTTTCTTTTTCTTTTTAAAATTGAAAAACAGCTGGAGAGCAAAAGATGGAGACATGCCTAACACAAGATGGCCAGCAAACAAGCAGTACAAGGTAACTGATGTTTATTGTCTGTGAGGTGGCACACTTATCTATACCTGTGGGATGTTAGCGCCTGTTATTGAAGCAGAGAAAAATACTGTGACCTGTCATGCATGTTTATTGGGGGGGGGGGGGGGGGGGGGGGGGGGGGGGGAGGGGGGCTACATTTGTTTTAGCAAAGCATGGATAATCTGTAAAAGGCTTTACATCTCTTTTTCATTGATAGATGAAAGACAGGAAAAATAAGAATTTGTCACTTTAATTTGGACTTGTGGACTACTTAAAGGACTGCCATCTAACAAGCATGTTATAAAGGCAGACTAAAGGGTTAGACTGAAAGGTGCAGATATTGCTGCTTAGCTACGATCCACAACGCCCTTTTAAGGGTAGAAACATGGTGATTGGGGGACTTTATCATCTTCTGCAGCTCCCTCTCTGTTCTTGCTATATTGTTAATGCTGTGTGGCGTGGCTTCACAAGGAATGACTTTCTAGTTGTACCTTGAAAGATTCTTTATTTTGACCTTTTTCTTCTAAAAATGTACAGGAGGGTTTGAAATGGGCTGGGTAAGGGCATATGCTACATTAGAGATAAAAGGAAAAAAAAAACTGAACAGCCACCAGTGTCTGTATAACTGTTTTTTTTTTTAAACTTGGGGTAACTTTGCATTAGTGTTTTGTTTGCTTGTAGTGCCAGGTCTAAATGTAAATAAATGATCTTGTTCTGAAGAGAATGGTACAGTGGGGAGCGACCAGGGGATCTAGCCAACACTCAAATGAAAGACAAGACAGACATATAATCAAACTGCTGCTGGTACACTGGAATTCTGTGCTGGCTGCTGAAGGTGGGGGACAGCATGTTTATGGGAATTTCCTGAGTTCTCTGATGTTGGTTCTTAACTCACTTCATTTTACTTGTAGACTAGCTGTCTTGTCCATAAAGTTAGTGTCTGATTATTGTTTTTGTTTTAAATCCATCTGGAAATAAAAATATAGTTTTCTTGTGTTTCAGTTCTATTCACCAAATGTTGATTACAAAAAACTTGAGGTCCCGGAGGAGAAGCCCAAGATCTAAACTGTGGGATTTCAAGAAATGTGTATTTTTGTGTTTATATTGGTAGTGTGTCCAGGAATACAAGCAAATTGTTATTCTAGATAATAGTTAAGGTTTGTGAGTGGCTCACATGCCAGTCATTGCTGTAGCATAGTTTTGATTGCTGAGTGAAATCATGTTTAGAATGAACAGATGTGTATTTTCTAGGTTTGTTGTGGTTTGACTAAAATCTGGTTATAGACAAGACTCTGCACATACTTCACATTTTGTAGAAAAATGAGAGTTTAGATTTAACTGGCTTGTTTAAAAGATTTAATATTGAAGTCATACTGTGTAATTTTAAAATGACAAGAATGAGGGTTGCATCTGAAATCTTATTGTGAGCTGATACATTTCAAGCACTGAATTAGAAATGATCATAGATCTTGTATTTATCTGGAGGCAGTAGATAATGTAAGTATTTGGTTATTGCATGTAAGCAGGATTTCTTTACCATTTTCAAATAGTCCTTGGCTATTGTTGCAGCTCATTATTACAAAAATAAATCTCCAATTGTACATTACACAGAACTGCTAACAGTGAAACTAAATCCAACACTTTGAAGAGTTAGCCAGTAATTTGTGTTAACATTTTGGCAATTTTTAAATGTACACCAAGTCTTTATTAATGTACAATTAGGAAATTGTAATAATTGTTTTAGTGTGTACATATTTACATGGTATATATTGTGTTCTAATTGAGAGATCTGGTAACTACTGTAGTTTATTAAAAACATTGTACACATTAGTAATCTCAAGCAAAAAAGATGTTCAGTATCTCAGATATTAATGATGAGTAATTTATCTTCAAGTACATATACGGCTGTAGGGTATGATCTGATATTGAACCATGATATTATGACCAAAAAGCGGTCAGTTTGTCGCACAAACTCCCCAGGATATTAGTTTCCACACTGCACACAAGGTGTTGGACATTCTCATGAAGGACTGTTACCTAATGTTAATTGTACTCTTTCCATTGATCTTGTAATCTGGAAACATTTCAATAAATCACTGAAGTGATCATGCTCGAGTTTGTTTGCTTGATATATGCAAGAGTGAACTCTTTATAGAGAATGAATGGCATACTTTTGTTTGATGTTTGTGTCAGTGTGTTTTATGATTGAAATTTGCCTGCTGTGTTCTTTATAATTGAAGCTTTTGTCATAGGGTAAGATTTATGCTTCTGTTTGTTCTAAATATGTGTGTGAAATTAGATTTGCAAGTACTATTATCACAGCAGTGCAGACAGCTGCACAGGTGCCCTGTTCCTCTGCAACTCCACAATATAAAATAGCTGATCACATCTGATCAGTGTTGATTTATTAAACGATTGATCACGTCAGTTCTGTGCTAATTAATCAAACGTCTTTTGCGTGAGCAATACAGGGCCACCTGTCCAGACAGTAACATGTTATAAAGATCTGTTTGCTGAATAAAACGTGGCATCACTGATAAACAGCTGAAATTGGTTATTAACTCAATAGTATTGCAAAGTCTGTGTGTGGGCTTTGGGGGCTCTCTGGACCTAAATAAAAGTACTAGGCATAGTGCTAGAACTGTACTTCATAGACCAGTCAGCGCTCAGTGGGTGATACAGTCATTATCATGCTGGCCGCTTTTACTTCTCAGGACTTTACCTGGTACCCATTTAAAGGTACCTGGGTCGACATGGCAGCCAAGGTCAATTCTGAAAAAGTCCGGCTCTATTCAGATTCAAAACCTGTGACAATCTGATCCGCAGGCACGGCAGCTCCCAAACTCAACCTACAACCCTTCATAAAATGTGATTAACTGAAGTCTGTTGAAATCGGATATTGCAGTCTGACCATAAACCACAAAGGAATGTGGCAGCCGTCCTTAAAGGACAAAATGCAGAAGTTGTATAGCAAATTAACATTTTCAATACCACTATTTTGTTCAAGCAAAACCTAAGGGTTCAACAGAATATGACAAGAACAAAACTTGCATTTTATAAAAGGGATCTTGTGCAATAAATCCTTGTCAGTATTAAAGGTTAGAAAAAAAAAATTCTCACATGGTCTCACTTTTGATAAATGGTTGAATTCTAGACAATAAACATAACAATTTCTTGAGGTCTTGGTCTCATATTTTTTTTTCTTTAGACAGAATGCTTACAAATTCCTAGGATAGCCATATAGAGGAGTTCTTCGTGTTCACCAGCTGTAAACTCTGCAGAAACTTCTGGTTGTTCATCCACTTTTGGACCGCAATCCTGTTTCAGAACCTGAGTGATACGTGTACATCCATTTTACAGATCTGACACATTTGTATGCAGACTGCTGGTTCCTTGCCTCTCAGGCAGATGCATTCTGACTTCGAAGAAAGCTCCCAATTAGTTGACTCTTACAACATTCTTTTGGGTAGGCAGTGGGTCTATTCTTGTTTTTTTCCCTATAAAAGGAACTCAAAACCCACTCGGGGAAGCCATATAGTGTAACAGTGATGTTTTAAAAGAGGCAATGGTCTAAAGACTATAACAAACATCGGAAGAGGACAGCCACTGTTTTTTCTTTAACCAGATGTGACCACTAGAAAGATTTATGGAAAGGGAAAGAGGATAACAGTTTGAGAAGATTCTTGACAGTCTTTTGTCATGGCATGAAGGGATGTCAGGACATAAGCTGATACATCATGCTGTTGAAGATTGTAGGGAGGCGTGATCACCCACAACAATCTGCAGGACACTTGATGATAAGAATCAATGGAGACTTCCAGTCTAAAATGAAGGACTAGGCATGTCTGAAGTTATTTTTGCTTCTGATGGCGCTTGGCTAATGCAGTTTCCTCATATGGACAGTGGTCTACGGTTTTACTGCCTGAGCTTCTGAGTTTAATGCGTGGTGCAACCCTGTGAGCTCTGTTTTTCTTTCACATGGAATGCCTTTTATTTGTACAGCGATTGTGTTGTGGTATTCAATATAGCCCGTTTATGTGTGGGCTGGTAAAATATGTAATAATTCTAGGTGCGTACAAAGTCCGACAAGTAATTAGACTAATTCCATAAAAATTGAAATAATGAACAGTTGAGGATATAACCTGTGTTTTTATTCAAAATAAGCCTCATGTGCATTGATACAGTGAGTGGCAATATCTAACAAACACTGGAATGACCACTATTCTATAATCATTGTAGTCCTTAAAGTCCATGTTACAACCCTTTGGAGGCCATCAATATTGTCAAAGAAGCGTCCTTTCAATGGCAACTTCAATTTTGGGAATAGAAAATAGTCACAGGGAGACAAATCTGGGGAATAGGATGGATGGTTGAGAATACGCATCTGTTTTTGAGCCAAAAATTCCTGTACAACTACCGTCCTTTGAGCTGGTGCATTGTCATTAAGAAGGAAAAATTGTCAGGTGTTGAATACAAACCAACAAGCAACTTTTTCCTTGCCCAAATCTTCCACTAAAATTTTACCTATAGTCTCTATATTAACACCTAATTCATCTACCATCCTCCTCACAGACAACAATCTTTTTGTATCCGTTCTTAAAATTTGTCAATGAGTTGCTCATTGCAAACAGAAATTGGGCATCCAGGTCTAGTTGCATTAGTAATCATTTCCACACCACTTTTGAATCGAGAATACCAGCTGAAAATATGTACACGAGATAAACAATTATCTCCATAAACTTGTATCGATTTAACTATCGCAATGGCGCTTTCTCTCTGTTTTAAGCAGAATTCAATGTTAGCTTTTTTGCTCCATGCTGATTATGTAACAATGCACCTTTGACTATGTTAACAAAATGGCGGCTTGTTTGTTGTCTGCTTATCCTGTGGCGATGAAACGTTGCCAGATCATAGATGAATGTTGCCTCTTTGGATTCCTTGCTTTGATTCACAGATGGCACTTTTGTCTTGGCCATAATAAAATCAGTCTCATTACTTAATTATCAGACCTTGTATAGCCAATGTATCTTGCCCAACTATTTTCATTAACAATAAACTGCATTTCTGGTGGCGACTATTGGCTTTGGCGTCTCTAGCAACTGCTATATGCATTTACTGTGCATTATTTCTGGATTGTGCTGGGACTAATTGTTTGTTGTTACCAGTTTTTTAAATGGGACCCTGAGAGACATTTCATTTGATTTTCACTGGCACAGGGACGGTGCAAGTATGGGGAAACCCGATTGCAGTGAAGTTGAAACTTTGACTAAGACTAAGGATAAAGAATATTCTTTGTCAGGGAAGTTCTACAAAACTATAAACAGCCAGATGTGACTGCTGCATTGCCACAGATGCCCAGTCTTCTGCAGTCAAGGAGCAGGTGCTGATTGTTCCAATGGCCTGGCTGTACACACACAGTAATCTTTCTTTCATATGTTTTTTTCCCGTCAGATCCACATGAAACACCAAATGCACACAACCTACATGTTTCATGCTTATATCAGAGGAAATATTGAAATGAACGAGTCTGAAGGCGAGACATTTTAAATAAAATTAGGACAAGTTGTGAAAGATCTTTTAATGCCAATAAATACACACTTCTAACAATCAGATACATGATTTTTTTAAACTGCACGTTGGCATCACTGTTGAACAGCCAGTGTATTTATTGCCTGTCATGAAAGGAAGTTCAGATAAACCCATGGTGAATGGCTTGGCATAAATCAGTTAATTTACAGACTTTAGTTATAAATGTGTGTGTATATATATATATATATATATATATATATATATATATATATATATATATACACACTCACAACACAGACATACTAAGAGAAAAAAACAATGTGAAAATAAAGTATACTATGCCCTACAACATCTGCACGTAATACTAAGATCAAAATATATACAACACTGGTAAGGCAAGTTTTATATAGCTCTGAAAATTGGAGCACAACTAAAAGAAGTGAAGCCTTGTTAGAAATTTTGAAGTCTTTCATTGAATCTTTGGACCCATCTAATATGCAAACTGCAAGGAATGGAGAGTGAGAAGCAACAATGAAATTCATAATCTGTCGCTACTGAAAGTTGACGGAACCGAGTGGTTTCCTGGTGTACTGTGGTGAGGGTGGCATTCTGCAAAGGACCTACAACATGATGATGATTATAAGTTTTATATATAAATATACAATTTATGAAGAAAAACCCCAATGACACTTTTTTTTAAAAAGCCACTATGAGAAACTAAGGCTAGCTACTCTAACTGGCCAGTAGCTTCAATGCTCTCACAGCCGGAATCACCTCATCCATCTTTGAGACACCTGTCAATTTAATTATAAAAACAATAATGTAGTTCCTGTGCTGCCATGGTAAACGAAATAACAGTAACATCAAAGACATAAATATAATGTAAAATTAAAGTGAAAACTTGGGGTAAGTAGAGAAATAGAAGGTGAGTGCGTTACTGGCGTCAGTAAGGGAAACCATGTCATGCTGGTGTGTTGGAAAATGAGCAGGCAGACAGACTTGGTGGTGAATTGATGTATGACAAGCTAGATGTTATGAGGGCTCTTTGGAAGTGAGTAAACAGATCAAACAGATCATTATTGTATGGTCTGAGGAGAATGGTGCTGCGGTGAGTTACCGGGGGATAATTATATCAGTTATACATCCATTCACGGTAAACAATTATATAAGTTTTACACTCATTCACTGTAAACAATTCTACCAGTTATAAATTCACTCACTGTAAACAATTTTACCAGTTATACATTCACCCACTGTAAACAATTATATCAGTTATACATTCACTCACTGTTAATAATTATATCAGATATACATTCACTCACTGTAAACAATTATTTCAGTTATACTTTGACTCACTGTAAACACAAAATATCAGTTATACAGTTACTCGCTTTATACACCCATTAAATCATTCAGGTACTGTCTTTACACTCTTCGGCCTTGGATGTACACTCACAGACTGCTGTTCATCTACCTTTCAATGTTATTCTCCCACTGCTTGCTTGCCTTTAACTCCCCCACAAGTATGGCTTTTATAAGAGTGTTATTTCCTTTAATATGGTACACATTTTTCACTCCTCTCTTTTTTTATTTTTTTATTTTTTTATCCAAGATGACCAATTACAAGGAACACCGAACATATGGTCCTGACGTTCAAGTGAAAACATGAAAGTACAACAAAAATTACTATAACCATGCTACTGTCTTCTACCCTGTCAGCACTGTTGCTAAGGATGTCAACAGTGTTAAGCATGTGAAATCATGTTTCAGATGAATGTGGCAATGTCATAATAACAGGTTTCAACCCTTCATTGATCAAGAAAGGGATGATAGAATGCTGTTTCTCTCCAGTGCATGTCAAAAGTGCGGCGGCCATATTTAAACTTCATTATGATGTCACCGTGTTTGTCTGCAACATGATGTCACATGCTCAACACTCTTGACATCCCTAACAATACTCTCAGGTTACAAGATGAGGGAATGATTAGTGTAATTTCTTTCACACTTTCAGTGTTTCCATTTAAAGCTCCCTAATTTAAATGGGAGCCACTGTAGTGCCGGGCGATGATAGAGACCCGCCTACCAGCCAGAAAATCTTTGGTTCAAATCTGCATTCAGACAGATATTTTGAATAAACGACATTGGTTACCAAGTGGATCCAGTATAAAGTGTGTACATGGAAAGGTCCTGGGAAGTAAAGGTGACTGGAGTGATACTGACCAGAACATTTTTGCTCCCAGTGTCCAGGCTATATGGACTTGGGTGTTCAGGTCAATGACAAAAATACCCCACCTCAATGAGGGTTAGAAAACATGGCAGTGAGGTTGCAAGGGAAGCATGATATTTACTTACTGCTGTAACTTAACTAATCCAATTAGTGAAAGAAAGCAAAGAAACCTTTTTATACTCATGGCGCTTCAGGCACATGTTGCTAAACTATTTTTATAGACCAGTCGGTCTACCTACTGCTGTAGCTCAACTAATCCATTTAGTGAAAGAAAGCAAAGAAACCTTTTTTTTATACTCATGGCGCTTCAGGCACATGTTGCTAAACTATTTTTATAGACCAGTCGGTCTACCTACTGCTGTAGCTCAACTAATCCATTTAGTGAAAGAAAGCAAAGAAACCTTTTTATACTCATGGCGCTTCAGGCACATGTTGCTAAACTATTTTTATAGACCAGTCGGTCTACCTACTGCTGTAGCTCAACTAATCCATTTAGTGAAAGAAAGCAAAGAAACCTTTTTATACTCATGGCGCTTCAGGCACATGCTACTAAACTATTTTTATAGACCAATCGGCATTCAACGGGCCGTATGGTCAACATCATACTTGCTACCTTGACTTCACATCTGTCCCCAGTGGGTTCCGGGGCCAGATTGTGGGGGAAAACAAGAATAGACTCACTGTCTCCCCACAAAAAGCATGTCATTGGAGTTGACTAACTGAGGGCTTCCTTTAAAGTCAGAGTGCATCTGCCCAAACAGCAAGGAACAACCTACTGCACACAAATAAGCTAGGAAAATGGATGTACACGAAAAACTCAGGCCCTGTCATAGAGCTAAAGTTCAAATGGATGAACAACCAGGACTTTCCGCAGGAGCTTGTGAACAAAGAAGATTTTAGCCAATCTGGAAGAAAAGATCAGTCACAGTAACTGTCTTGATGTAGATTCAAACCCAATCCATTTACTTACCCAAAATATCAAACAGTTTATCCATAATTGCTTTGAATGCTGGGAAGAACTGTTTATGCTCGTGCAGTCGTTTGATGACGCTGGAAGATCAAATATAAAAGTTAGCTTCTAAAAACGTCCTACACACAAAACAAAAACATAATCCTCGCAGAAATGTCACAAACGTGCAGAAGTTATCAATGCCAAGATAACTGTCAGAAGGAGCAGAAACAAAATAAGTTTAAACAAAAATAAAAGAAAGATAATTTTAAAACACAAACTCTTCTAAGGCACCAGTGATTGAAATGACAGTGAGTCAAACATAACTATTTCACCACTGAATTACTGTACAAAAATACCCTTCTCATGGATTCCAAAAATTTAGGATAATTCTGACAAAACATATAATTACTGTCCAATTAAAAAAATAAAACTATTTATTTTCCTTCAGGGTTCTGAAAACATGCAACATTTTAAACCTGTAATTTTTTATGACCATGGTAAGATCAATATAATTTTTCTTCTTCTGTTGTCTCACTGATACCAGGTTGTATCTGAGTTTCGTGGTTTTGTTGTCTCACTAATACCAGGTTGTAGCCCAGTGTTGTGGTTTTGTTGTCTTCCTGATACCAGGTTGTAGCCTAGTGTCGTGGTTTTGTTGTCTCACTGATACCAGGTTGTAGCCCAGTGTCGTGGTTTTGTCATCTCACTGATACCAGGTTGTAGCCGAGTGTCGTGGTTTTCTGTATTTGTCTCGCACTTCTTAAGTGACCTTGGTGGTAGATTTGTTTATCTTTTTGCAGGTTATCTTCCTCTTTTGGTCTTCCCCTCACCTTCTAAGTGTTCTGCTGTAAACAAAATACATATGCAGTGTGGTGTGGCTACATTCTCACTAGATAGTCGAACTATTTCATTCTTTTCCTGTCCAGAAAATTGAGGGCATGATCATATTCCAACTTTCTCTCTAACGCTTGTATTCATAACCCTGTTCCTTCTTGTATTGTTAGTGAACTTAAGGGGACAGCACAGTTCACAGGTGGTTTTTTTAATGTTCTCGTGTCCTATTCATTGAACCTCTGCATTCATCAGTGTCATGAGTCAACTTTACCACACACTGTGAGAGAAAGACAAACAACGACTAGACTTTGACAGGTCAATTACTGGTCAGACAGGTTGTGTATAGACAAGACGGGCAGGGGTATTAGGGTAACTGAGTGTTACGGGGGAGAGGAGTTTACAAGAGGACTTGACAAATGAGTAGACCAATATACGGTAGTTGGTAGTTTGACAGTCCAAGGAACAGATGTGTCTGTTTGGCACCCCTGAAATGTGGGAACTGTTTTCGCTTGGCATGGACTGGATCTAAAGCTGTGGAGAGGACAGTAGTAGCTGTTCATACTTGTGACAAGTGTTTGTTTTGTGTAGCCGGACATATACAGTTAGTTGTGGTAGCCAGGATGATTTGTAATTATTGCTTCAGATGCATCCACTAGCCTCTCATGACTTTGTTTACATTGCTAGTATGATGTGTGAACAGCTATACCAGCATACTGTTGATATACTTAGCCAGTGAATACCTGGGGTTAGTGTGCTTGTCAGCTGTGAGAATAAATGGGTGGCTACTCAGCAGTCGATAACTTTGTGTGGAGGCCAGACTAACTTTGCAATTATTATGAGTACTTAAACTTTTTTTTAAGAATTGGAAACACAGTAATCAGTATTTACTTGTTAACGCAAGAGCAGGCCTACTAACACAAACAACAACTGTACCCCTGTCACACTTATAAAAAAAGTGTCTGACAATCAGTATAATTACCTGTTTAAATCATCTGTCTGCAATAGTTTCTTCAACTGATCTGAGGTGGTTGAGTTATATCTGTGGCATAATTTGCCTACGGCATCCACCAAAGTTGCTGTGCTGGCACCAGTTGCTGGTTATGACAGTTCAGGAAACATCAATTAATACACAATACAGTCATCAGTAGCTACAAGCACATTTGCTGGCCTGAGTGTCATGGGTTCAAATCTGCGAGTCAGAATTTTTTTTCTTCTTCCAAAACTGACTTTGGCTTTTAGGTCAACCCAGCCTGAAATGAATACCAGGCAATGTCCTGGGATTTAAAGGCGGTCGGCATGATGTTAAAAACATCATGTATCAAGTGACGATTGGTCATAAATATATAAAATACTATATGATATAGTCTCTTATATGATTCTATATGATATAGCCTCTTATATGATACTATATTATATACTCTTATATGATACTATATGATATACTCTTATATGATACTATATGATAAAGTCTCTTATATGATACTATATTATATACTCTTTTATGATACTATATGATCTACTCTTATATGATACTATATGATAAAGTCTCTTATATGATACTATATGATATAGTCTCTTAAATGATACTATATCATGTGTCCAATATGCCACAGCTGCAAACAGGATTCCTTATTTAACTGGAGTGAGACCAGTATTCTTGTCTAGCTCTATAAGACATCGACCACTGTTTCTTCTTCTTCGTGTTCATCAGATGTAAATTCTGGCAGACAGTTCTGGCTGTTCATCCACTTCTGGACTTTGGTCTTGTTCTAGAACTTGAGTTTTGTGTGCACATCTGTTTTACAGATCTGACTTATTTGTAGGCAGACTGTTGGTTCCTCGCCTCACAAACCTATGCACTTCGACTTCGAAGGAAACATCCCTAATTAGTTGACTTTTACACAATACCTTGGGTGGGGGCAGTGGGTCTATCTCTCCACCCCAAAAATGGGGTTCAGAACTCATCCAGGGATAATCATTGTCTAAAAACTATATTAAAAGATATCAACCAGTATTTAAATCAGGAATTATAAAACAGTAACTAATATGTTAATTACATGTTAAAAGATAATTAGAAATGCTCCCCCGTATGGGTTCCAGGGCCCCATTGTGGATTAAAAAAACCAAAACAAGAACAGACCAACTGCCTCCCCAAAAAGCCTGTCGTTGGAGTCGACAAACTGGTGGCTTCGTTCGAAGTCGGAGTACATCTGCCTGAGCGGCAAGAAACAACCAATTGCACACAAATAAACCAGTAAAACGAATGTACATACAAAAACTCAGGCCCTGGCACAAAGCCAAATGGACGAACAACCAGGACTTTCCTCCGGAGCTTACAGCTGGTGAAAGAAGAAGAACGAAGAATTGCCCTAATTGCATTTCCCACTTTTTAAATACGGTAGTTGAAAAGGGGGTGTCTTGAGCCTAAAGATTAAGGCCCAAATAGCTAGTGCAACTGCCATGAACTGTGCAAGTACATAATAAAAAAAAAAAAAAAATTTCAACCAGCACTAACATGATTCAAAATTATTATCAATGTTTCAAGAAAAGAAAAACAATCACTGTACTTACGAATGCCTAGTATGCTTTTTAAAGCATTGTAGACATTTTTGTATTCTCCTAGCTGTCGATAGACCTCATTCATGCGAGGAAAGATGCCAGATATCTTAGACACCTCAAACAAGGTTTGGAAGTGGCTGACTATGCTCTCTAGTGTTGATCTTGATACATCTTCCATTAGCGTCTGCGAGAGAGAGAAGAAAAATAAACGAAAGCAGATTTTTAATTTTTTAACATTTTGCTTATATGATGCTGTTAGACAGCCAAAAAGAGCAACACTAATGTTTTGAAAGAGGCAAGGGCTCAGAGACAACTTACAATAAACATCAGACAGAGACTGTCACCAACCATTTTTGGTCATATTATGAGAAGACAATCTGAGCATGTTGTGATCACTGGAAAGATCTGAAGAACAAGAGACAGAGGAAGACAACATGAGAAGATTCTTGACTGTCTTTTGTCATGACAATGAGGGGTGTCAACACATGAACTGATACACGCAGTTACAGATTGTGGAATGAGCAGAGTTCCAATACTAATGTACCGGTCACCATCTGGTTATATGTCCTTTGAGTGTAGTCAGCCAGCCAGACCCTCTGGTTACACCCAGGTGTGTTATTCTCTCCAGGCCATAATAATCTTGTTTTTCTACTTATTGCGTTGCTTGTTCCTAAAGGGTTTTGACCACATCTGCCTTGTCATGTATCGATTCATCACCACCCAGTGGCGCAGATTCGGCCAATCTGTCTGCCTGTTCATTATCCACCATGCTGGCATAGCCTGGAGAAAAAATCCAAAGCATGCTCACTGCCAGTGACCTTCCCAGTGAAGCTTGCCACTCTGCATGAAGCATCCCTGCATCACCTTTCCCAGCATGCTTTCAGAGTCTGTTACAATTGTGGATGAACAACAACCAGAACTGTCCTTCGGAGTCTACAGCTGGTAAAGGCGAAGAAGAAGAATTCATATTCCCAGGCACAAAAGCTTTTACAAATAAACAATGTGCAGAGTTGAAGACTCACTGTTTTTCTATCACTCTTGTCTGCATGAGTGACCCTCTCTATGAGCTCTGCCATCTCCGAGACACTGTGGTTGTACTCCATGCGGGCATGTATCCATGGGACCACTTTGTCTAAGAGACTATTAATCGCATCTTGCAGCTCTTCCAGACTGGCAATATCTTTGGACCAATTTTCAATGACCTAAATAAAAATGAAATGAGAAAGAAAAGATTGCTCTGATTGTAAAATATAGACAACAATGATGGAGAGAAATGCAGCATTAAAATATTCAAAATACTTAATTCTTTTCGTCATGTTCATTGGCTGTAAACTCTGGTGAAAAGTTCTGGCTGTTTGTTCACTTCTGGACTTTGGTCTCATTCCAGAACTTGAGTTTTGCGTGCACATTCGTTTTAGTAGTAGTAGTAGTACTTTTACCCCACCATGACATCACACAAGTGATAAACACCCGATGACACAAGTGCCACTGTGTAGATGAGGATCACCCATGGAGAGGTCCCAGAAACCGTGTTTAGCCATTAGGTCATATTAATGGCCAGGCTATATTCCAGCCCCTAGCAAGAGCCAGAGTAGGGCTTTAAAAAAACGAAAAATTGCATTCCACAAAGGGATGAATAAGGGTATAATAGATAACACCCATTTTATACATCTGGCATATGTTTATATACAGACTACTGGCTTCTCCTTTTCAGGTAGACGCACTCCAACTGTGAAGAAAACATTCCTAATTTGTAACCTTTTATGACAAGCTTGTTTGGGGCAGCGGGTCTATTCTTCTCTCCACGAAGGGGGTGGGGTGGGGGGGGGGGGGTGTGGAACAAACCTGGGAAATGAATGAATGAATCAAGAATTTACACCATTACACTCGGGATATCCTCACAGTGCTCCGTCCCCGAACTCCTAGCCAATGAAGAGTTCTCATACTGATGATGTCATCTGCAATCTGATTAGAAGTTTATCTGTTTTTCTCCCGTGGGATTCCAATGATTATTCCTAGCTGAATCATTCTCCCCACTTAATGGTGCTCTTTGCCGTGTGGGTTCCGGAACCCCATGGTTGGGAAAACAAGAATATACCCACTGCCTTCCCTGAAACATGTCGTAAGAGTTGACTAATTGGGGACTTCTTTCGAAGTCGGAATGTATCTGCCAGAGTGGCAAGGAACAACTAGCTCAACACAGATAAGTCACCAAAATGGATGAACACACAAAACTTAGACCCTAGGACAAAGCCAAAGTACAAACGGACGAACAACCAGGACTTTCTGCTGAACAAAGAAGAAGAACAAGAAGAAGGTGCTCTGTTTCTTCTGCTGCACATGTCACTTGATCCCAGAAAGCCTTTGTCACGTCAGTTTTATTAAAAAGTATCTCATTACCCAATGGAGAGATAGCAACGTAAGGTAACAATCACTGTAATGCACTATGCTCAATAACGGTCAGAGACCACTTCACACAATCATCAGTCTTGGATCAGGTCAGTGTTCTTGTCCTGATTATGCCATTTGGCAAAGCCATATAGGCATTTATCTCTGTACTGCACTTCCTTTTTTCTTTCTTTTTCACAACAAATTCCTCAGGTTCCATTACGCATTCAAGTTTCTCCCAACAATTTCTGACTGCCTACATGTAATTAACATGTAACAAGCTGTCCACCTTCCACCACACATGTCTACATAGAATTATCAGAATTTTCTGGCCAGATACAATCTCAAACACTAAACTACTTCAAGTCACAAACCAAGAAACTTTAGACAGTATGATAACCAAGAGAAGATGGAAATGGCTCGGCTACATTATGAGAATGTATCCTGATATACCCGCCAAAACAGCTCTCACATGGACACCAGAGTGAAATCTGTGGATTCAAAAGTCGTGGGTTCAATATCTCATGGAGCATGATTTTTGTTTTCCAAACATGACCTTAGTTCCCTGGTCAACCCAACCTTAAATGGGTACCAGGTCAAGTTCTGGGAAGTAAAGGCTGCCAGAGTGATGCTGACCACACCATTCCTCGAGTCTATAAACAAATGAGCCTAGCCCCATACACCTGTGACATGTAAAGGAACCTTAAATTTTTGTTAACTGTGTTGGTAAGCTAGTACACTAACACTTAACTGTGTTGGTAAGCTAGTACACTAACACTTAACTGTGTTGGTAAGCTAGTACACTAACACTTAACTGTGTTGGTAAGCTAGTACACTAACACTTAACTGAAATATCTTGGAAAAAAAAGAAAACTTACCCCGAGATAGTATCTCATGTTGGAGTCACAGAGTATTGTGGACAGGTCTTTATTCCGCCCGTAACGTCGATGTCGCTGGCTATGTTCATTCACACTCTCCACTGTCTCTGATAGTCTGAGGCAATACTGCCGAAATTAATATAATTATACTACCTATTAGAGTCATTAGCTGCAGAATGAGTGTGATAAAGTGTCAGGCAATGAATGTTTGACATGGACAATGCTGGTTCCATTTTATCGATAGAATATAATTCTTCTTCTCCAGTGATCTATGTCTGCTATGCATCTATTCGAACAGAAGTCACAAGGTTGGGGGAGGGGGAAACTTGAAATCTTCTCCATACCAAGAGAAAAGATGCTAGACAGTTTGGCATCATGGCATAGATAAACACCTATATCAGAAAAGACTGACAGCAAAAGTGACAGTGACAGTATATGTGACAGCAGACTGTGTAAACAGACATGATTATCAATGCCCCATGGCAGGGACTATAAGAGAAGGTCAAATGAGCTGGGCAAAATGTGAAGAGACCCTCAGACAGTGCTGCCTGTCCCAGGTCACGTTCCAGGTTTAGTCACGTTCCAGTAAACCCGGATATCTGGCACAGTCATTTCAGTCACATACATCCCTTGGGTGCCAGCAGATTCTATGCTGGTTTTACGGATCCTCTTGCAAGACTCCTGCGACACGTTCCCGTCATGTATCATGGATAATGCCCTATATCTGCCTAAACCAAGCTGCAGGGAGTCTCGGAGCCAGTGGCCCCCTAAGATGCAGTTTTCAGAATCATCTGGGACCACAGTAGAAACGTCATGCACCTCCGGAAGACTCTCAACAAACTTCAGAGCAGAGCAGCAAGCAATTATTGATTCAGCCAAAGTGCTTGAGGAAAGAAAAATCAAACAGCAAACAAAATTTTCTTTGTGACTGCATGTCAGCCTCCAGGCGACTCAGAGGGATCCAAGAGACAACATAGAGAGAGAAATGACCCACCAGCTAAACAGACTCACATAAAACAATCAAAACATTCTCCAGTGGATCCCCAGTCACTGCGGCATACCAGGAAATGAGTTAGCAGTCAGACTTGAAAAAAATGGAACAAAGGAGAAACAACGCACCCATCCACAGTCATTACCAGAAATCAGAATACTTATCAAGGGAAAATACAAGGAATCATGGAGAGAAACAGTAAACATCTACAAGAACCAATCAGCAAACTCAACAGAAAGCAACATACGACAATTGTCAGTCTATGAACAGGACACTGCAGGCTCAACTACCATATGCATAAAATAAAGATTGTACAGTCCCCACAGTGTGCCTGTCAAACAGGACCACAAACACCTAAGCACATTTTGCAGACCTGCCCACAACTTCTAAAAGACACCTGGCCTCAAGAGCAAAGTGTACAGAGTAAGCTACCGGGAACCACAAAGGACCTGCTACTGACATGCAAGTTTATACTGGCAACCCACTTGATGGGTCATCTGAGCTTACAAAACGCAAAGAAGGGTGATAATGTACGTGGAAAACTCATTTAGAACATAAGTAAAGTCCGCTGGCCGAGTACCCTACTACAGTCCTAAAGTCCTACTATATGACAAACCTTAGCTCAAACGTTTGACGAACAAAACTCCTACTAAACGGCTGCTTATGTTCAAACGTCTGTCCACAGAGTGTCCTACCGTATGACCATGACCTACTGTACGACAGCAAAGTTTAAGATGTTCCCCGCTCAAAGATCCTACTTTATGATACAAAAGGCTCAAATGTCAGCTACCAATGGCCACACTTGCCAGGATGTAATGTCCACACCTGGAAGCCATGTCTGAAACATGCTTCCCACAAATATCACAAAAAGTGTCGTGAAAGCTGCCACTGTTAAAGAGAGAAGTCAAACATGCTGAGGAAGTGAGATGCCCATCTCAGCAGAGAGCCGGTAGTTCATGTCTGCAGACTGGTTCCTGAGGATCCCTAAAGGGTGCAGCCTATTGTGATGTGGATGTGAGGTTAAGCAGTCATGTACAGGATGTGATGATTCATTGGGTGAGCCCAGTTTGGAAACCTTTGTGGATGGTGGGGGATGCCCATGCTCTGAACCTGCCTTCCCTTGGAGTGTCGACCTGGATGGGTCCTCAAGAGATATAATACCAGTGGATCACTGCAAGGAAAAAGAAAAATGAAAACCGTAGACCCAAGACTAACAGCACACACACACACACACAAATGAAGAGAAATCAACAGTTACCTCTTGGAACCTGTCACAGTTCCTGGCCTCCTCTTTGGCACTCCTAACTAGGTCAACCAAGCAGTCAAGGTCATCAGTCTGCAGCTCTACGCACAACTCCTGGGGAAAACAAGAATCAATCAAACAATTTAAATAATGCGGACACAAACAATAAACTGCACAATTTATTTTCTTTATATAATATACATTGAAGCACACATGCATTCATGTGCGCGCACACAGACAAAAGAATCATTTTCGCTTAATCAATCAATTATTCCAAGGTGAGACAACTGATCATTTGACTGACTTGTGAAATAAAGTATACTACTGGTTACATATCCTCGTGTGGTTTCTGAGACCCAATTTTTAGGGGGGGGGGGGGATAGGCTTCACCCCTCACTAATTAGGGGTGTTTCCTTCAAAATCAGACTGCATCTGTCTGAGAGGCTAGGAACCAACAGTCTGCAAAGAAACACACCAGATCTATGAAATGGATGTACACCCAAAAATGTTAGCTCTGGAACAAGACTGAAGACTATAAGTGGATGAAAACCGGAACTTTCCACCGTAGTTTACAGCTGGCAGGCAAAAAAGCTAACAAAAAGATTAAGACTGGTTACATGGCAAGAACAATGAGTGGCTTGCCAAATCGTTAAAATACCAGACTCTCATTATTTTGATCTGGGTTCAAATTCTTACTAAGGGAATAGAAGGGCAAAAAGATAAATACTAACCTGCACAGTCTGTGATGACTGCATTGGCCCTGCAGCCATAAATCCTTACACTCAAGACCCACAGACCCACCTGTCTATACCGCCATAAACAGTGGAAAATACAGGCAGTAAAGACAGACACAGAACATCGGTTGCCATCAACCACAACTTCTTCTGTGTTCACCCATAAAAGGAGAGTTTCACATTGTTTTGTGCTTTATAGCGAAGCTGCAATGTTAGGACAACACCCGATTTCTGCAAACCCTTAATTAGTCACATTTTACAACCAGCTACTTAAGGGAAACTTTTGTTCCTCACAAAATGGGACTCAGCCTTCTGCTGGCTTGAGAATGGAGGTGGAGGCAGTCACTGCTGCCTTCTACTGGTTTCAGAATCAGCTGTACACACATGTCGTAACTGTAATCGATTCACAGAGCATGGTGAGAAAGGTGGAGACTGGTATGGTCCGTTCAGAGTCGCAAGCATCAATTCGGAGGCCCTGGGTATTTAGTTTCCTTTAGATATTTTCTTCAGGTTATGCCAGTGTATTAGGAAATGAACAGCCAGACAGACTGACTGGTATTGTACAACTAGGTGTGAACTGATGCAAGACAAGACAGATGTTCAGATTTGTTATTGGCACCATGGGAACCGGAACTCTGGAAACCATATGGGAAAAAAAAATAGCAATTAGGAGAAGGAGATGTGAGTAGCTATGGATCTATCCAACATATGGGTAACGATCTGACATCACAGCTTTCAGGACAAGTCCACATTAGCTCCACCTTCGTGCTCAACAGCCAGCAAAGTCTCCATACTGATCGTACCTACTGTCATCTGGTTAATTACTCATCTTGCCTCCCCCTCTGTGTCGCAAGTGGCATCGAGAGCTCACAGATACTCCCCGTTGCAGCATTCTCTAGGTACAGGTTTTCAATATCTTCCATTTTAATTGTTATCTTGTCCCATAGGTGACAGATTACCTCTATCTTCTGCAGCTGCAGTTCACCCCAAGTGTGGCTAGTCCAGCCAACCTATCTGCGAAGCTCATTTCCAAACACGCCTACATAGCCTGGGCTAAATATCCACCTGACTCTCACCACCTTTGGACCTCTAGACTGATGCCACTCATTCCATATTAAGAAAACTTGACTTAGGTATGTTTGTTTGTTTTAGTATCCAGAAGCCATGAGTTGTTAACCCTTAGGCTCGGTATTATGGATATCGCAACCTTTCGGCCTTGATTCCATTGTAAATACCGTAAATCTGGGAGAAATGTGGCTTTTCTGCCTACCCCTTGGAGTGAACCCGGACCACAAGGAGTTCGTCACCCGGTAACCGCGCAATCCGGTTTAGCCAACTACACTAGAGAGCCGGGCTAGGTTTAGGTTTAAACAACAGATCAACATCATGGCACAAGGGCAGTAACCCATAAGTGCTCAGTTCTACTTCTAACTCAAGCCTGCATCTGAAGAATCTTAGAGCAGTTCACGATCTACATAGCACTGGCAAGGATCCTGAAATACTTTTGAGTAGATTTTTAACTCCAAATTTTGCCAGGCAGCATTGTTAAGCTATAATTTTCGTTTTCCAACTGCCAAGTGATTTTTTTTTTACGTGCGCAACAATACATACGGGTGTCCAATCTGACTACCCAGAGACCAGTGGAAATTACTAGAAGTCCACGTGAAAAAATCCCAGCCTTTACCGAGGCCTGAACCTGTTACCTCCAGCACTCGAGGCGGACGACATGCCTCGAGACCACATAGCTACCCCAGATTAAAAACCCAGCTCAGTTTTGCAATTAATGGTAACCATAGACATTTTAAAAAAGATACAGAAGCCAAAAATATAACCAACAAATATTAACTGACTCTGAGGTAATGGTGGCATTGTTCCAAGGGCAATGATTCCAAATGTTGTAGTTGAGTATTCAACTTCCTCTTGCCAGCAAACGGATCGACCTTTGTCTTCTCTCCTGGTATGCTAACAACAACAAAAATACCTATTATACAAATATAACAGGCAACATGGTTTAACTGAAAATCTTGTGCCAAAATCAATATTTCCAAGAAAAGGTATAAATGATCTTTTTATTTGTAATCAGTATGTCAAAAACATGATTCATTATGTTGGTAATTAAAATGCTCCTGCTGTTTTCTATCACAGCAAATATGATAATTCTTTGAATCTGAAATATTATTTTTCCCTGTGTTGATTCCAGAGCCCAATGTGGCAAAAACAAGAAGAGACCCACTGACTACCCAGAAGCATGTAATAAAAGTCAACTAATTGGAAGCCTCTTTTGAAGTCGGAGTGCATTTGCCCGAGAGGCGAGCAGCCAACTGTCTGCATACAAATAAGTCAGATCTGTAAAACGGATGCGCATGAAACACAGGTTCTGGAACAGGGCTAGAGTCTAGAAGTAGACAAACAAGCAGAACTTTCCGCAGGATATTACAGCCGGTGAAGAAGAAGAAGAAATATTAGTTGAGCTACTTCTGTCCCATATTGTCTCTGTTGAACACCTTCAGACTTAAATACCTTTGCTTTTAAGCTCTGATCTTTGGGATAAACATATTTAAAGTAAATACTGCTTGGCAGTATAAGAGTTAATAAATATGTCCAAGACACTAAATTATCTTGTACAATCATCAGCTACCGTCTTATTCTCGTATATTTGAACAAAGAAGACATAAATAAAACATTGCACAAGTTATTGCCTGGCATATTTTGTTGCATCTTGTCAGGTGCATACTATAGTAACAATGAAACAAATGAAGCAAATAAGTGGAGAACAAATTCAACCACACTCAATTCTGCTAGGTATCTTTATGATAATGAGAAACAATCTTTACTTTTGCTGGTTTCCCTTTCAATGAGCCAACTTGGATTAAGAAATTAAAAGTACCAGAACAGAAGACATATCAGCAACCATGGTAACATGCAATTTACCATAAATATTCACACAAAAAGTCATTTTGGGAGTCTGAACAAGATTACAAACTCAACTAGATACACACAAATACTGGAATTATTGTGTAGATATTACTAGAACAAGATTACAAACTCAACTAGACACACACAAATACTGGAATTATTGTGTAGATATTAGTAGAACAAGATGATTGGCTGTCTGCCCAAAGATCTTTGGTTAGAATCTGCACCGGGTGTATTGTTTATAAGTGATCTTCGATTCCGGGTCAACCTTGCATGAAATGGGAACCAGGTCATGTCCTGGGAAGTAAAGATGGCTGCCCTGATGGTGCGACATTACCAGCTGAGTGCTAATTGGTCTATACAAATATAGGCCTAGCCCTATGTGCCTATGAGAAAGGAGTCCATTACTTTACATTTCTTCATTACTAGAACACAACACAGAAGAAGAAATACGATAAAGACTAATGCAAAAGTTCCCAGTTTATATGGTGTTGTGATTTAGGGATGATGGGGGCTGTCAGTTGTAACTTTATTTACTGACCTGATGTTGTGTTGACGGAGTTGGTTTTCCAGTTTCTTCACTTTGAGTGTTAGAAGCCTGTGGTCTTGCACATCAGGACTAGAATAACAATTAACAAACCAATAAAAGAAGGGCGGCTTGGAACAACATGGCAAGTAAGGGACAAATGGAACAGATGTAAAAATGGAAAAGAAACAAAAACAATTAGTCTAAGATACACAACTTACACTGTGGTCTAGAGTGCAAATAATCTGAATATAAAATGAGGAATATAAACAATTTAAAAAAAAAGATATACACAGAAAAAGTACTTCTTCTTCTTCTTCTTCTTCTTCACTTCCTCTTTTACCGCTGTGGGTGTCGAGGGAGATATAAGGTTCTGTTTCTGGCTCTTCTGGCTGCCTCGACCATAGGCACATCGTGCTGTTGTAGAGTTTCTCTGATGTTATCCTTCCATCTTGTTCTTGGTCTACCTCTTGCTCTACGACCTTCTTCTCTTTCCATGTATGCTTTGTATGGTATGGTGTCACAAGGCATTCTCTCTAAGTGGGCAAACCATTTCACTTGTGTCTTTATATGTAATTTAGAATTGGTTCTGTGCCAACTTTTTCTCTTATGATCTCATTCCTGATCTTATCTCTTCTGGTCACTCCTACAGCCCTTCTCAGACATCTCATTTCCATGGTTACTAATTTTCTTTTATGGTTACAGAAAAAGATATAAATTTTAAAATATACATAATTTATAAAGATATTTTTAAACAGATAAAACCCCCATGTGGGTTCCTGGGCCCTATTTACAGTACAGACCCAATACCCTCTAACAAGCAAGTTATATAAGGCTACTGATTAGGAGTGTTTCCTTCGAAGTTGGAGTGCATCTGCCTACGAGGCAAAGAACCAACAGTCTGCATTCAAATAAGCCAAGAGTTTTGCATGTACATCCCTTTTACTGGCTTATCTGTGTGCAAATGATTATTCTTTGCTGCTCGGGCAGACGCACCTTTATTTCAAAGAAGCCCCCAATTAGTCGACTTATAGAATATGCTTGTTGGGGATGCAGTGGATCTATTCTCGTTTTCCCCATAATGGGCCCCGGAACCACCACAGCAAACGCAAAACAAAAATTCTGGAACAAGACTAAAGTCCAGAAGCGGATGAACAACAAGAAATGCTAAGAAGAAGAAGATGAAACGGACAAAACAGAAACTGAAACAAAAATATATATATGCAAAAATATGAGAATTTTCTTCTGTATTCCTCCTGAATGTGGGGTTGGCACACTGTTCTGTGGTTGTGGAAAAGGGTCTATTATTTATTTCCCACAGAAGTTTGATCCTGCAACAAACTACAACAGGGCTCTTCAACTAAGTTATTCAGGTCCCAAAATTCTGAAAACAGGCCAGAGGTCCAAGCTCCAGCACTGAAAGATCATTATTACAATAAAACTCGCAATGAGCCATGAACCACTTGCTAGGCCTCTAGGGGCCAGATTTGGCCTGCAGGCTGCCAGTTAAATAGCCTTGACCTACAATGATGACAGTAAGATGGCTGCCAAGAGTAAATAACTTAGCAGCATTAGGATTAAAAAAAAATAAACAATAACAGTTACCTTACCTTGATCTTAAGTCCTGTTTTAGTGACTCCCTCTGTTCCTCTAGTAGCCTGATCTTCTTGTTTTTCTCTTGCAGCTGTTTCTCGTACAGCTATGTAAATGAAATATCAGTAAAACCTTGTCATTATGAACTCACTTAAGATGAACACTTTATAACATGTACATTTTAGTCCCAGCAGGGAAGTATTCTTCTTCTTCTTCTTCTTAGCATTCACTAGCTGTAAACTCCAGCAGAAAGATCTAGTTGTTTGTCCACTTCTGGACTTCAGTCTTGTTCCAGAGCTTGAATTTTGCCTGCACATCCATTTTACAGATCTAGCCTACCTGTATGCAGACTGGAGGGTTCCTTGTAGCTCAGACAGATGCACTCTGACTTTGGAAGAAAAAACCCAATTAATTGCCTTTTATGACACGCTTATTAGGGAGGAAGTGGGTCAATCTCCCCTCCCCACATGGAGCCCTGAAACCTACACAGGGAGGACCTGTAATACATTTATTAGTCCCTAGCAAACATAGTTTTAGAAAATATGAAACACGTGTGCGTGCGTCTTTGCCTCCCCCCCCCCCCCTCCTGAATTCATGTTACTAGATTTTACTTTAATTATTCCTCTTCTTCGTGTTCACCAGCTGTACACTCTGGCGGAAAGTTCTGGTTGTTCGTGCACTGCTGGACTCCAGTCTTGCTCCAGAACCTGAGTGTTGCGTGTGCATCGGTTTTACAGATCTGATTCACTTGAATGCATACTGTTTATTCCTTGCCTCCAGGCAGATGCACTCCGACTTCAAAGGAAGCTCCTAATTAGTTGACTCCTACAACATGCTTTTGGGGAGGCAGTGGATCTATTTTTGTTTCCCCCACAATGGGGCCCCGGAACACACACAGGGATTTACTGTAGTAATAATATTACTCTTTATTACTTGCACATTTAAAAAAAAATACTTAGACCCTTGAGCCCTCTTCCCAATGTCTACTTTCACATAATTTTGTTTCTTCATTTCATGTGCGGAGGAAGGCTTTCTAGCCGTAACGTTCACTTGTTTGTGTCTGAAAATGTGAAGCCAACTAGTTCTACTCTTCGTCTGGTTTGATATCTTTTCACGACAAGCCAGGATAACTATGTTAACTCTTTCAGTATCAGAAGGTTTCACAGAGATTCCAATGGGACAAAAAAATTATGATACTAAATCAAGAATGTATTTCTTTCAAAGTCGCAATATGCAAAGTGGTAGTGACCAACGGGGAAGGCCAGATTTGTCTAGTATATTCTGACTAAATGGTAAAGGTAAGAGAGCACATTTTGCCTTGGAGGGGAATCAAGAGGTAAATTCATTCACACACAGAACATTAACTGGGACTGAAAGAGTTAATAAGCCAGCACAACAACTATGTCAGCACAGCAACTATGTAAGGAAAACAACTATGCCAGCACAGCAACTATGCCAGGACAACAACTATGCCAGGACAACAACTATGCCAGCATAGCAACTATGCCAGTGCAGCAACTATGCCAGCATAGCAACTATGCCAGTGCAGCAACTATGCCAGCACAACAACTATGCCAGGACAACAACTATGCCAGCACAACAACTATGCCAGTACAACAACTATGACAGGACAACAACTATGCCAGCACAGCAACTATGCCAGCACAACAACTATGCCAGCACAACAACTATGACAGGACAACAACTATGCCAGGACAACAACTATGCCAGCACAGCAACTATGCCAGCACAACAACTATGCCAGCACAACTATGCCAGCACAGCAACTATGCCAGGACAGCAACTATGCCAGGACAGCAACTATGCCAGCACAGCAACTATGCCAGCACAGCAACTATGCCAGCACAACAACTATGACAGGACAACAACTATGCCAGCACAACAACTATGCCAGCACAACAACTATGCCAGCCCAACAACTATGCCAGCACAACTACCACATCAGCACAACTACTATGCCAGCACAACAACTATGCCAGCACAACAACTATGCCAGCACAACAACTATGCCAGCACAACAAATATACCAGCACAACAACTATGCCAGCACAACAACTATGCCAGCACAACAACTATGCCAGCACAACAACTATGCCAGCACAACAACTATGCCAGCACAACTACCACATCAGCACAACAACTATGCCAGCACAGCTACTATGCCAACACAACAACTATGCCAGCACAACTACCACATCAGCACAACTACTATGCCAACACAACAACTATGCCAGCACAACAACTATGCCAGCACAACTACTATGCCAGCACAACAACTATGCCAGCACAGCTACTATGCCAACACAACAACTATGCCAGCACAACAACTATGCCAGCACAACAACTATGCCAGCACAACAACTATGCCAGCACAACAACTATGCCAGCACAGCTACTATGCCAACACAACAACTATGCCAGCACAACAACTATGCCAGCACAACAACTATGCCAGCGCAGCAACTATGCCAGCACAACAAGTATGCAAGCATAGCAACTATGCCAGCACAACAACTATGCCAGCACAACTACCACATCAGCACAACTACTATGTCAGCACAACAACTATGCCAGCACAACAACTATGCCAGCGCAGCAACTATGCCAGCACAACAAGTATGCAAGCACAGCAACTATGCCAGCACAACAACTATGCCAGCACAACAACTATGCCAGCACAACAACTATGCCAGCGCAGCAACTATGCCAGCACAACAAATATGCCAGCATAGCAACTGTGCCAGCACAACAACTATGCCAGCACAACTACCACATCAGCACAACTACTATGTCAGCACAGCTACAGACTCACCTTGAGAATATCCTTCAAAGTGTCTGCTGATTCTAATGCATGATTACCCTTGTCCAGTGTGTGACCAGCAGGGTAGATCCTGCAAGTTTGTAAATCAGAAAAGATTACCATTCTTGGTCAAAATCAATATAAACTTAAGTATCAGATTTACAAGGGAACTAAAAGTTGATGATATTTAATGCAACACATAATTGAAAACATAAAACAATGTTCTTTACCCTTACAGTGTTTCCCAAAAATACGACGCTACCAAAATAATTATAAAAGTAAAAAAAAAAGTAAAGTTCCCTTTTCACGCCTTTCGGTGCATCGGGAATATGGGCAGAGCGTCCCATATTTTTACAGACCATCAGCACTCTGTGGGTAATGTGGTCAGCATTACGCCGGCTGTCTTTACTTTCCCAGGAGAGCCCATCCTGGTACCCATTTAGGCTGGGTCGACCTGTGACGTCCCATACCACGACAAAAATCCACGCAGCCTGCAGTGGGTTTCGATCGCGGTATGCTGGCTTACGAGTCGGACTCGCAACGCCTTAGCCACGGACGCCGCAAATTAATTATGCCACAGCATAATTTTCAGATTGCTTTTAATATAAGCCCTAATTGAGATCGTTAGCTAGAGTTAGAGACCAGGACGGATTTAGGCAGAAATTTAAGATCCGGAGAGTTATGATGATGTTCCAGAAACAGATGACAGGACTGTATTAGAAAAAATATAGATTTTTGTACACAAATAAATAGAGATTTTTGTACACAAATAAATATAGATTTTTGTACACAAATAAATAAAGATTTTTATACCATAAAAAAAAAATCACCTGAAAAGAATCCATAGCACTACTTCTAAGCAAAATATAATATAAGAGCTGGTCTTATTTTCAGGGAAACATGGTGTATATCTCTATCATACACTTCTGTATGGGTACCAGAACCCACAAGGGGATGTTAAATGCTGAATTAAGAATTGACATCACAGCATTAAGGACACTCCCATAAGTGCTACATCCCCATCTTCAACAGCAAGCAAAGAGTTTCAATTCTGATGGTACCAGTAACTGTCTGATGTATAGGATTCTAAACATGTTGCCATGCAGACAGACTGGGAACAGTCAAAGGCTAGGAAAGCAAACCTGAATAAACGTTTGCTGAAATCTGATGTACTGAGCGACAGGCTTCTTAAAATGGTGCAGCTCAACTTATTTCATGATGAAATCATAACAGCACCCAAGTAAATGCAAGCAGTTAAATAAAATACCTCCTCAGCTGATAAATTTCATTGGCTCTTGTAAGTTAGTTGGCAAGGCAGTTTGACATCCACTGTGTTATAATGACACGCACAAGTTGGTAGCTGTGATTTCTTCTTCAAGTTCACCGGCTGTAAACTTTGACAGAAAGATCTGGTTGTTTGTCCACTTTTCTGTTCCACTCGGTTAACATGAACATTCTTCTTATTCTTCTTCTTAGCATTCACTGGCTGTAAACCCCAGCAGAAAGATCCAGTTGTTTGTGAACTTCTAGACTTTAGTCTTGTCCCAGAACTTGAATGTTGCATGCACATCCATTTTACAGATCTGGCTTATTCGTATTCAGACTGTTAGTTCCTTGTCTCTCAGGCAGATGCACTCTGACTTTGAAGGAAATCCCTAATTAGTTGACTCTTGATATGCTGGTTTAGGGAGGCAATGGGTCTATTTTTTTCTCCACAACGGGGCTCTAGAACCCCACAGGAAAGCTGCGATTTGAAATTGTTTCTTTACATATATTTGATCATCTTACTCTTGTCTATTATTTGAAATGCATCTGGTTTTCTGTGTTAAAATACAACACAAGTATATAATACGCAAATAAAATCAAACTGGCAAATTTTAAACTGAACATGCTGAGGCAAAAATAATTTTTCAGCAAACAGAATAACTTCAACAAAACCTCAAAATTTATTCTAGGAAAGAAGTAAACCAAGAGAGAAAGTTTTGTTGTTCTGATCAAAGTAAATATATCACTTAATTTTTTGAGTTGTTTAAATTTCTTCTCTTCCACCTTGTACCTCATCGAAGTGTCGGGGGGAGATGTAATGTTCGTTGATGAGCTCTGTCAAGAGCACTATTAAGACTGATGTTCATTTCTGTAAGGCTGTTCTTAATGCCGTCACTCCATATTTTCCGAGGTCTTCCACTCGCTCTATACCCGTTGTAACATTTTAGTGTGGCTTGCTGTGGCAGATAGTACCAGGGCACTCTGTCTCATTAGCCACTTGAAATAACAGGCACTTTGAATCCACAACAGCAGTTGTCACTGCGTCCATATTTTGGCAGATATTATCCAAATGCTAAATAAATTATCCAGATTTATGAAAACCTCCTCATAATTTCTTTAATTACAAAAATATATTCTCTTAACTGTAATATTTTTGTTTCCTTAATAATCACTATAGTCAAAAAGAAACACTCAAATTTTACTGTTAAAATTACATTGTGAACATTAGATATGATCTGAAAAGTTAAAATAACAATAATTTAAATATTAAAATATGAAAGTGACGAGTCTATCTGACCGACAGCTTACTCTCCATCCTGGATAAAAACGGATGCAAAATAGCCATCTTCTTTGTTGGAGAGCAAGCATGGTGAAGATCTGTGAGACACATACTGTTTATTTGGTGCATATAACTTGCTTGTATTCAGAACTTATTTCTATTAAAAAATGTTAGGTACTCAATATGAAGTGTCTAACGACCCCCCCCCCCCCCCCCCCCCCCCCCCCCCCCCCCCCCCCCCCCCAGTGTCTACTGCAGTAGTACACAAAAATTATTCAAAAAAAAGTGCTGTTGGTGTGTACCCTTGAGTACCACCAGAAAAAAGCTACACTTCTATGAAACAAACACATAATGATGATTTATACATGTTTAATGGCAGGGCAAACCAGGTCCATAGCCCTGGTTGGCAGCTGGACTGGGAGAGAAGCTCTGACGAGTGGACAGACAAGAGCACTACTCTGTGGGTCCAGCAGCTTCTGCAGCCTGCTTTGTTCCAAATGTGTTGGTAGTACCTTTCCTTCAGAGTAAACAAAGCAGGCTGAGAGAGGGATCATGATTCATGGACAACACATGGTCTCTACAAAACTGCCCAGGCTTTGTGCTATGGAGAGGACCTCCATCCCTGACTTTGAACGGTCTAGGTACCAAGAATATTACGCGCAATGGTTCACCTCCAGCTTAAATAATGCGATTCACAGTGTGACTGGTATAGATTTTTATAAAGAAAGAAAAAATGGCACACTTCTCTCTGACCCTGGAGTAATGGATGAGATAACTCTCTTTCTCAAATCTTTTTCTTCTTCTTCGCGTTCACCAGCTGTAAACTCTGGCGGAAGGTTCTGGTTGCTCGTCCACTACTGAACTGCAGTCCTGCTCCAGAATCTGAGTGTTGCGTGTGCATCAGTTTTTTAGATCTCATTCTCTTGAATACAGACTGTTGGTTCCTTGCCTCTCCGGCAGATGCACTCCGACTTTAAAGGAAGCTCCCCAATTAGTCGACTTTTACGACATGCTTTTGGGGAGGCAGTGGGTCTATTCTTGTTTTTCCCACAATGGGGCCCCGGAACCCACACGGGGGCCTTTCTCAAATAAGTACCCCATAAAATAATCAGGAAAACTCAGGACACTGAAGCTGGAAACTGAAAGGAATAGCCACAACCAGCATAATTCGTATTATTGCCAGTTATATTGACTTCATGTAAGCCGATGAGACTGAGGCTCTGATGGAGGCATCTGTGTGCAACAGTAAGTGATTTCATGAACCAAGCCAGGTACAGCTAATGCAAGTGTCATAGATTTCTTTCTTGTTGTTGTCTAATATTTTCTCTGCTTAAATCTCCACTGTGCCTCACCTCATCTTTCTGTAAAATGGAGAAAGGCTTATGAAATAAAACAACAGAGAAAGTTATATTTCAGGGATAAACCATGTAGAATAACAACAGAGAAAGTTATATTTCAGAGATAAACCATGTAGAATAACAACAGAGAAAGTTATATTTCAGGGATAAACCATGTAGAATAACAACAGAGAAAGTTATATTTCAGGGATAAACCATGTAGAAAAACAACAGAGAAAGTTATATTTCACAGATCAACTATGTAGTACCCAACAGAGAAAGTTATATTTCACAAATCAACAATGTAGTTTAACAACAGAGAAAGTTATATGTCACCGATCAACCATGTAGTATAATAACAGAGAAAGTTATTTTTCACAGATCCTTCACATCATGAAGTATAAGAACAGACAAATTTGCTTCTCACAAATTTATCATAAAACACATTTAAGAAATTCATCATGAAAGTGAGAAATTTGCTTTTCATAAATTAATCATAAAGTTTAACAAAGCAACTTACTTTTCGCTCACTGCAGAATTTATCTTTGATGTCTGAATTTTCTTCTGAAAAAAAAAATCAGGCATGTAATAAAAGTTTCCCAGTTTTAATGGACTGTCTAGAAGCAAGGTGATGTATTTGAAGCAGATTCTAAAGTGATCAGTTTTCACCGGCAAATGTTTCCATATGTGGCTTCTGGGGCCCCATTTTGGGGGCAAGAAGAACAGACGCACTGACCACTCAACATGTATGTCATAAAATGCAATTAATTAAGGGTATTTCCTTTGAAGGCAGAGTGTATTCGCATGAGAGGCAAGAACCAACAGTCTGCATACAAATAAGCCAGATGTATAAAATGGATCTGTTTGCAAAACACAAGTTTTGGAACAAGACCAAAGTTGAAAAGTGGACAAATAACCAGAACATTCTACTGGAGTTTACAAACAGTAAAAAAAAACGGGGCAGATACTGAAGATCATGCTGACCTCTTCTGTAGCAAACAGATTGCTTATATATGTAAGCTGCTCCAGTCACTGATCCCACCTGGCAACTTTACCTTCAGAATGTTAATATTGCTTTAGGAATAACAAAGCACTTTCGCAAAGCCTAAGCCACTGTGCCAATGAGATATGAAGAGAAAAAACATACTATTTCAAACGATGAAAAATTATTCAACATGTTAGAAATAGCACTTAAAGATTCGGACATTCTCCTCCCCAACATTTTTCAATTAAGTAAATGGCAGGAGAGAAGAATAAAAAGATGAAAAATGAAACTATGCCAAACCTCTTGAGCATAGGCAATGACTTCTCTGCGAAGCCTTGACATTTCCTTTTCCTGTTCTGCAACCTTCATTTCTAATTTCCGACATTTGACAGCCAAGTCTGACTTCATTTTATTTAATTTGTCCTCTTCATGTGAAACTCGAGACGACGACCTACTTTTCTCTCCTTCTAATTCCTGAAAAAATAACAAGAAAAAAAAGATTGGAAAGTAAGTAAACACATTTTAATTATCTCAAAAACAGTATCTGCATTCACATTTAGGTGATGGAATTTCAAATGTTATTTAGTTGAATTTAAGCTTATTTAGATTTGTTTTCTAGCTGTTGTCGGCATCTGTGGCTTAGGCGTTGCGAACGCACTTTGTAATGCCGGGTTCGATCCCAGCTGTGGCAAGCTGCAGCTAAAAGAAAAGAATACCCCAGAAACAATATTACAATATAACCTTTCTGACATGCCCAGATAAAAAAACTACATCTGCACAACTGGGTGGTATCTTCACAATCTTTGTCTCTCACTTCTTTCTGTTTTACGCTCTCTGACACAGCTGGATGTCAATCTCTTGATGTTATCCATTAATTTGTCTCACTGTCTCCTCGTTTGGGTTCTGGGGCTCATTTTGGTGGAGAAATAATAGATCTAACCCACAAGCTTATCGTAGGAGGCAAATAATTAGGGGTGTTTCCTTTAAAGCAGAAGTGCATCTGCCTGAGAGGCAAGGAACAAACAGTCTGCATACAAAAAAAAGGCCAAATCTGAAAAGCAGTTGTGCAGGCAAAACTCAAGTTTTGGATCAAGATTAAAGTACAGGAGTGGATGAACAACCAGAACTTTCTGCTCTAGTTTACAGCCGGTGAAAATAAGAAAGAAGATAAAAAAGTAACACTGCCTACCTCTTACTTGCTTGCCTCAAACATTTCCTTTAAGAATTGTTTATAACATTGTTATGGCTTCTAATGTAAGTGAACAATTTCACTTGTCTTCTTTGTATGTCTTTCATCAACTCTCTTTTCTTCTTCTTGACCATTCGTCCAAGTCACATAACTACGCTGTGTCTGTTTACAGTAAATACGATATATCTGTGCCTTTCGGGCAACACATCCAACTTCTTCAGGCATTTACTTTCTGGGTCAGCCTTGCTGGCAAACCGCTTTTCTTTCTAAGTCTTCTCATAATCTCTATATTTTCATTGTTTTTTATTTAGACAAAACACAGCCATATCTCCACAGACTCAATTACTTTATTGAATAAGTGCATTATCTCTTGTACTTTCACAGATCATGTGGGGAAAACCCTAAAAGAAAGAGCAAAAAGAAGTAAAGCTGATGCAGACAAACACTATTCTGGACTGTACCTGAACTCTTGCTCTGGAACATTCCAGCATAACCTTGATGTCTTTAGCCTTGACCCTTAGCATCTGAGCTTCTTGTGTCAGATGGGTCACCTCATCTCTGTTGACATTCCAGTAAAGATACCACAATTATTCCACCTATTATACACCTGAGTTGCAACCTTTAATGTTACACAATTTTGATTAATTTCTGTTAAACATCACTGTAAAACTGTTACATTCCGCTCAATTTGCACCTGAGTTTCAATGTTGTAATTACGATTTTATACAAATTGTGCCCATCTATATCAACATTCCAGTAAAAACGTCTCATTAATTTCAGTGTAAACCTAAGTTTTAGTGCTATAATGTTGGTCAACTTATTAATTTCTGTTAAAGACTGCTGTAAAAATGTTACATTCGATTCAACTTACATCTAAGGACAGAGGAAGAAGAAGAAGAGGAAGAAGAGGAGGAGGAGGAGGAGATGCAGCAGCAGCCGCCGCCGCCGGAGCAGCAGCAGCCGCCGGAGCCGGAGCAGCAGCAGTAGTAGTAGTCGTAGTAGTAGTAGTCGTAGTAGTAGTAGTAGTAGTAGTAGTCGTAGTAGTAGTAGTAGTAGTCGTAGTAGTAGTAGTAGTAGTAGTAGTAGCAGCTGCCGCCGCCGCAGCAGGAGCAGGAGCAGCAGCAGCAGCAGCAGCAGCAGCAGCAGCAGCAGTAGTTGAAGACTAAGAAGATGGTGAAGAAGAATGTTAGCTTACCTTAGCTCAGAATTTGCTTGTTCTAGATCTTGCACTATTTTCTCCTTATCATCAACTTCAGATATCAATGAGGAAACAGACGATCTCAACGACTGGCTGGATTCTAGATCCATGCAGACGTAACGATCTTGGTGATACATAGAAAAGTTATTACTCTCATATACTTCATGTTTATTTGTGTACACTGTACACACAAAAGTCCCAACCTTAAACGCTTGACCAAAAGGCCTGCACACAAATATTCTGTCTTCTTCTTTTTTTAGCATTCACCAGCTGTTAACTTCTTCTTCTTCTCGTTCACAGGCTGTGAATTCTGGCGGAAGGTCCCGGTAGTTTGCCCATTTGGACTTTTGCCTTTTACCTGGACCTGAGTTTTGTGTGTACATCGTTTT